AAATGTAACGGACCTAAAGAAAAACCCAGTAAACCGCATATCTTACTAACGTTCAATGTTTCGGTTTTCACTCGAGTCCGAGTTTCTTGGACGGTACTTGGTTTGCGGTGTTGGATTTTCAAACGGTCGTGTTAATTCGCTGCTACGTCACTCCCGTCTTTGTCTCTGTTTCACTTTGGCCACAACGGGGTCGCACATTGAATTCAATATCTCACTTTGCTTATCATGCCAATTATGATTACAGGCGCAAATTCGATATTTTTCGGCGACAAGTTCAGCTAATGGCACTTAAATCCACAGTAGAATGATTGCGATACTGACATAGTCATTTGAAAATAATCCTTGGACAGGAATGGCATTCGGATGTAGGCCGAAGTGTCGTCTATTGTGGATCCGTACTAAATAATAATCATTTTTCTAATAATAACGTACCTTTCAATGTGATCCACTCTCGTTAAAAAGGCATTGGTTTGGCTGAATCAACTACATACATATTAATTACAACCGATGTTTAATTGCTGCGTTGTGTTATTTACCGTGTTAACGCCTTGTTAACACGCTTTAATCGTTGTTCTACCAATGTCGTTCGATCATATGTACACGATGTGTCATCATTTGTTGTCCATGTAATAATTCACAATGATGAATGTCAATTTTTCCTTGGAAATCAATGTACACTGACGGCTCGTTTTTTCATTAACGTCCACACCCGGTCGGCATTTCAGTGCATATAACTGTTTCGATTCTGTGACTGATTTTCACGAAAATGAGGGTTACTACATTATTTGTGAAAAACAATAAACTAACACTCGGCGGGCACGACAAAAATGTGAAATATTTGGTAAATTAACTGTTGCCTAGCGTACATGAACTTGGTTAACTAACGACGGACCATCATTTTCTATCATAATTCAACTTCCAATGGGTCTTGCGGTTGAAACTTAACTGTATAGTAAAAGACACCCGAAGCAATTTACGGTGCTCAGGCGGCAACATTCGCGGTCTAATGTCGGCTTTCGTCGGGCCCTCCCAAATCGTATACTTAAATGCATTACACGTGATTAGGTTTTAGCCGCCATAGATCATTTTCGATTTGCTGAGTATGAGTATTCTATGAGCTATTGTAATCTTTTCGGAGTGATATTGAGCAAATAGACAATTCCAAGTTTAGCTGTTTTTGTTGTACCGCGCTTCCGAATTATTGTCTTTTTAATTATACTCGGACATGTGGTGGTTGTTCGGTACAAGGTGATCTTTTTCCACGACCTTGCCATTTCCGGAGTACAGCTGTCACAATGCACTGAACTACTCTATATATTACTACTAGAGCGAGTTCTCTCATTATGACAATATAACAAGTGCATAATATGTCACATGTGTACATTGTGTTAATATATTGTGTACACGAGGCGGGTGGTGGTCGTTGTAAATATTGTGACTTTTGCGTGCCACAGGAAAACTGCACTTGAAGATAAACCGCTTTTCTCTCTATTCCTGGGTGCTCGGGAAACCGGTGTGGCGACAGGTATAAAAAGGTATTTTTAAAACTCCGCTCTTGCGTTGTTTTTAGAAAAATCGAAAACTACATTTTAAAAATCTTAACAACCGACTCGCTTGCACTGACCTTACTCGAAACAAGAAAGTCCAGTACTAATTCAATAAAATGCCGCTCGCAGGGTGTCGTTTGGGACGCATTTGCAATGACGTGTGTGTATATTGTCATTAAAGTCGTTTTTGACCGACTCTAGGCCGATGGTACTTATCGTTGCCCGTTCAGCAACTATCATCTCGTCCTTCTCCAGTGTCTATCTGGGTTAAGTTGAACGTGTGATCGCAACGGCCGTATGTAACTATGTGGTTATAATAATGCCGTTGCGGACACATTTAATAGAGGACAATTTACCGTGTCGTTATTATTCGGAGCGATGACGCATTGTCTTATTCTCGTGCACAAGGATTTGCATTTTAATAGTCTCTTCCTGGAATGGCTGCGCGGCCTAAGAAGTCCTGAAGGCGCAATAATCATCTTCGTATGATTACAGTCATTTGCATACGTGTATACTATACTTTATGTGTACATCGACACATAATTCGATTTTTTTACCTAGTGTACATGTATACTAAATTAACGGTGTTATTTCCCTCGGCTCGGGCCTATGTTATTATACTCAGGTAACTTTTTTTTTTTATCTCGTAAATAATTTTCCTTTGGGCCGGGATGCCGTGAAAATTCCCATGGGACATAGTATGTGCGTCGACCACGCTAAACATCAAACCGGCAATTAAACATCAACCAAAATACTAACGTGAACCTGATTTCAGTGTAGACTCGTACGAGATGGGGTGGCGCCTACGATAATACCCATACACCGTTAAAAAGCGTCTCTTTGTTTGTTTTCTCTCGTACAACGACATAATTGCGTTGACGCCGAGTTTACCTTTTTTTTTTTTTTTACCGAGACGAGATTACGTACGAGCCGAGGGTAAAAAAATCGTTGTGCAAAGACCCAAATAGTGTTTGGATTGTTTGCCCTCTGAATTTTCAGTGTTTGAGTTTTTGCGAAAAAAATTAGATTTGGCACTAGATAAGAGGAGGGATCTGACCTACATAATGTTATTATGTTATCGGCAGTCTTATCTTTGCCGTTCGAAGGGTGGAAATAATCAAACCGTGAACACTTTTCGGGAATCGCATGAGAATGTGTGTTCGTCGGTAGTGTATCGGAGAAGGAAAAAACCGTTACTCTCTCCAGTTGTGCTGTATATCCTCGTGATCTCTAATCGGTGTATTCAAATGCTACCGCCGCCGCTTATAATCCATTTTTTGTCTTGTACGCGGCGTTTCTATCATACGACACTAGTGAAAAAACAAATATTGAAACGATAAACGCGGCCGCGAGACAACACGCTCGCGGTGTGCTCCGCTCATTTGTCAATGTCGACCTTTAAATCCTTTTCGCATCAACTGCGCCGACATGTAATACCTATACCCTCCGCTGCCTATTGTGCGCAACAAAATAAAAAAAAATTGCGAAAGACTAGGTCGTAAATAATTTTCTAAAGGGTTGTGTAAACACCGTCGTACAGCATCAAGCCTCGTGTTGTACGCATACCGGAGGCAGAGGCTCAGTATTACAGTTCTCATATTATTATACACTTTTTTTTTTTCATCTCCCGCAGTACCCCTTTGTTGACGATATTTGGAAATCTTATAAAACAATTAATCACTACAGGAGGTCCTGCCGTACCCTATGCTTGTATCGTCGATGTGCGTCAGTCGCGACACGCATAAGATCTTTATTATCTGCGTCGTTTACGAGGTTCAAGCGTAACGTCGTTCATTTGCCGGTAACCGTCGACGATCGTGTGTCAGTAGCCATTAATCGAAAATATAATCAAACTGCGATTTGGGCATGAGATAAATAAAAAAAAAAAATCTGAGAACAACCGCTCGCAATAAACGGCTCGATGAAAACGCATTCTCGATGTGTAACAAGTTCGGTTTTTTATTTTCTTCTATTATTATTATTTAACGAGACCAAAGATTACCACGGTCGTTCGACGGTAATGTATAAACAATACAATACCCAACGCGACGACTGTAACAACAACAATAACAATAATAATAATAACTGGTTATCTCCGAGCCGACTAGTAGCAGTGTCCTGGGTGCGAAAAGCACTGCACCGTGTTTAGTAATACTGTTATTATTATTATTATTATTATTGTATAGAGAGGGACGTCGACCGTGGGCGGGAGCTGCAAGGGAACGGGGTCGTAGAACGAGTTTTGCAGTCGGGCGCGCGCCGCTCTGGTCCAGTTCCGGATCATCGTGTACACGTGTGTAATGCCGCACAATTACTATATAATTGTTATTACTGACACAATGGCACCTGTCCGACGACCTTTTCCCGTAATAACTATATGAAAATACCGTCCGCTTATGATTAATATGGTTTTAATTCGGAGACGCTACCGGCGCGACCTGAAACCGGTTGATCGAATCGAACCGGTCCGGCACGAGGAGCCCACGGCGCGCTCCTTCCGTTGTCATTCATCCGCGCGCTCATTCACAAAACTAATAATAAAAATAATAATAATCGTATTAGCCGCGACTTGTTTTGTGCACCGGGCGCCGCTCGCATTATCTCCTAATAACCACAGTTGTAATTGTTCTTGTTTGCCATCAGCGTTGCTGACCTGACGACCGAAGATAAAAAAAAAAATCGTAAACGGTTTAAAAACATCAGGATCTTACCGAAATGATTTTCCTAATAGGCCGAAGGAAACCGATAATAGCCTTAATAATTATGTTAACTGCAGCACCACGTGTCCCCCTCCACCAGTTATGACGACGCTTTTAGTTAATTCCACGACCACTTAGTAACGCCATTATGTGTGAGTCATCGCGGCCCTCGCGTTCGTCGTAACTAAAAGTCTGACATTTAATAAAATAGATTGGCGACGGAAACGGTCGTGTTATTTTTGTCCCGTGTATTTCGAATTAGAATTTTTATTAGAATATTAATAAAAAAAAACATACATCCGTGACATTAACCAGCGAAATATCAGCTTTCGACACCACATTAAAAACGGTATAAAATATCTTATAATGCATAAACGTTATTTCTCACGCGTGTTATCCGTATGCTCATAATTTTTTAATGCCGGTCAACCGAATTTCTCAACGCTGTGCGCCAATCGTTTTAGTGCGAGTTAATGGATTCGTATTAGTCGGTTTATTCAATCCTTCGGAGGCACTACTAATAACACGCTGCAGGTACCGAGTTGATTCGCGAAGGCTCTACGGAACGGTTACAGTCTATAATAGTTCTAAAACGTTAACATATAATAAAAAAAAAAATCTCTCATTGACCCATTAAACTTAATTGAAACGGTGTTATTAATGATAAGTTTCCAAGTTTCTCCTCCTCCAAAAAAATTGTTGTTATGGTGTGATATCTGAACGGCGGACGTTTTGCGTGGGCTGGTTGTTGTAGGAGACGGCGACGTGGTAGCGATCACCAACAGGAGGATCGACAGCAGCACCACCAGCGCGAAGACAACGAGCGGCGGCACCACCACGGCGACGGCGTAATGGCCGATTCCGAGACGGGCCCCGGCGTGGCCGAACAGCCCGCCGAACCTGGCGGCTGGAGACCCTCGTACTACGAGCATCCACTGACCGCGGCCACGTCGGCCATGCTTAACATATCCGGCGCAGACGAACAGCAACAGCAACAATCAGACGGGCAGCAACAAGTGCAGAGCGGCGCCGTGCCCCTCAGCTTTGTCTACGAGTACTATAAGCTACCTCATATCGCGGCGCCGGCCAGCAACATCGACCCCAAGGACAAGCTTGCCGACATTTGGCAGTAAGTTTGAGTGTCTTTGTGCAGAGATGTGTAGAATCTGTGTCTCTTATATATGCAAATCGCTACTGCGTGTTCGCTTTTTACAGTGCCTGCCCCGCAAACACCGTTGACCGTCTTCCCGAAAAAAGAAAAATGCTGCGCCTGTTGTGTTAATAATCCAAAATCATGTACCATAGTAATCTAATCTTGTGCAATCCTAATGCTGCATATCGCTTTATTAACGCCTTTAATCATTTTATTTCATACTTGCCGCCGACACACGTCTGTCCGTAAGTAGACATAGAATAAACACAAAAATTAACCTAACCGGCAGTGAATCTTTTTTTTAACGTGCTCTTAGATCAACAGGGCACAAAGGCCAACATCATCTCTGGTTGGCTCGTTTCGGTTGAATCTTACATCCGGCCACAACTGTTTATTTCGCCACCACACATTGGGTGTTCGTATTTATTTTTTTTTAAATATCGTATTACCCCCGGGGCCGTAAAGGCTGTGAATTAGACTGAAATCGTGTATCGTCTTCTCGTCGCTGCTTTTGTACCGAACGGGTGCGCGCATCTCCAACGGCAGTGATCTATAATTTATTGCCTCGGGTTTAATGCGATCACAATAGCCGCGCAATTACATCCCATTGTCGTAACGTATTCGGCCGTAATATTTCATAGCACGCGGGCAACCCTTTACACTGTGTCGTACATGCCCATGCGCTGTGCATATAAATCGTCGTGTTTTTCATCTCGGCGGAGGTCTTCGGAAATCCGATACGTCTTGTGATTATTATAATTGTCGAAATTTAACGGACGAATAAATCTCGACAAGATTATACAGCCTTGTATTCCATTTCGGACCACACCCCAGCAGGGGGGGATTCCGTGGGCGAGAAGGGTTCGCTCTTTTTGCATAGTAATTTGTTTTTTTTTTTCATTATTGTCGTGCTCGATCTATAAATACCTGTGCCGAAATTTATACTCCAGCGATTTGAATATTAACATGCGTTCGGATAAATAATGTACGGGACATTTGGTTAAACGACGCGCTTTGTAGTCGTTTTCAGCCCATTGGCTCGTCCGGCGACGAGATGGGCGTGACAAAGCGAACGGCGTACACACGCGCGCAGAGACACAATTCCGTAGAGTAGGAGAGGTGAAAAAGGGGGACCCGCGTGAATTACACACGGGGAATTTGGCGTTCCTAAATCTTCACATTTTACAACGTATAACGTATGGAAACGAAGGCCCAAAATATCCGATACAATGCTTGGAACGCGTAAATGAATTCGGTAGGTCCCTGAAACTAAAAAAATACGTGTTTTTCATTTTTAGATATAGGAAAAATAACGTATCGTGCAAATGGTGCGACGGTCCAAGGAGATTGCATAAAAAATGCCTGTTATGTATTTTTGGCGGTCAATAACTGACTATTTTTATTAACTTCCACATCTAATTACTGTAATTTACTTGTGTGNTTAGATATAGGAAAAATAACGTATCGTGCAAATGGTGCGACGGTCCAAGGAGATTGCATAAAAAATGCCTGTTATGTATTTTTAGCGGTCAATAACTGACTATTTTTATTAACTTCCACATCTAATTACTGTAATTTACTTGTGTGTATATATATATATATAGTCTTTTAGGTCGGTAGCTCGATATTTTTATGAACACATGAATAAATTATCTCCGAAATTGGAAGAGCCTCAAGCTAATTCGATATAAAAAGTCTTGTTTAATTACAAGGTTCAATGTAAACACAATACGACTTAAAATGTTATTTAAAGCGTCGATATGGTAAAGTAAACAAAATTACGTTATCAAAAATCAAATTCAAATGAATAAGTTTGTTTTTATTAGTCTGTTATTTACTGGACTCGCATAATGATAGGGTTATTGATGCAACCTTGCAATGCATTTACGAATACATTACGAGCTGTAATTATTGACTAACTCGATAATTATGCTGTTTTATTAATAATTAACAAGCGACGGTGACTCATAGTATAAGTGTCTTACAAAATCCAATCAACGGCAGCATATTCGAAATTTCGATTTTTTGTTTGTTAACGACAATACTACCGACACATTATATCGGCCGGCGTATAATTATCATATCAATACACGAGTTGTGTCTGCATTAGCGTTGTTAGTGGATGACCGAAACAACTTTCTAATTAGACGCTTGTGCAATGACATTTAGGAAGAATTCAATATGCCATGTCCCCTATATATATAATGCAGGTGAAAACGTATAAATTTTTGCGTTTTTGACAAGTTTATTTTTTCTCCGATTTCAAATATTTTTCTCTCCGAGATTATTTCACATATTATTACCGTGACGTCTATACACTATTTCTATACATTTATATTATTGGTATGTGTATAATGTGTACGCCGTTTTCTATTCTGTTGAGACGGACGGACACGCAACGTTGCCGTGTAACGTTAGAGTTGCAGCTCCACAGCAACACATCCGGTTCTTCTGTATTACATTTTTGTGTGTGTGACGTTCTGGAATTGGTAAAGTACCAAAGTCCCAAAGACCTGTTGACAGCTAAGTTTTCTCGCGATTCGTCCGACGTCGTTTTTGCCACCGTTTCTTTGAGTTTTCTCTTAAATCGGTCCGTTTTCTATTAAGTCGTTCATTTTTTAATTGATTTCTCCGAGTCGTCAACGTGGTGTTCGCAGTCGCAGTCGCACCATCGCGTCTAATGAACAACGATGACGGCCCGTCGGTGTGTTTGTTGTAAGCCGACACGAGTGTGTCGCGAGTGAGTGACGAGATGACGAGTTCATTATGACAAGCTGTTCAATGAAGTGATGGGAAATCGGAAGCGAAAGGGCGACGAAACTCTTAAACTACTGCCAACGGGAGTCCCTCCCCTGCGTACACGTTGTATTAAAATAAACTAACTAGAGAATATCCGTTGGCATCGCATACGCGCTCGTAACTATTATACGGCCTAGGGGTCTTGCCGACCGTGAAAGTAAAAAACGGTATTGTGCACCGTGTCAGCCTCGAGCACTGTTCCTGAGGGGTTGCTGCTGGTATGTGTTATGAAATGAAACCGATGCCAGCACCTGTCGGAGGGCTTTAGCTTAGGTAAAAAACATTTGGGAATCCGCACGGGATATAACGACTGACATCGATAACCTTTTTGGCTCTGCCAAAGCCGATAAATACTTTTATTATCAAACAAAAACACCTCGATATCATTAATGATGATAACTCGAAAAGCTTACTGTCGACCGTGTCTTGCCATCATTAGCTTCTACGTGAAACGCATCGTGGTCCTGTCGATAATATCGGCCGCGATCGCATTAAAATATCTTTTATTATAATTCACTCGTAAATTGACCGCGCGCACCACTACTAGGCAATTGTTATTCTTCCGTCCATTAGTATAATGTAATAACGTCGCGGTTGGCTTTTCCGTACGGTAGTCGTCTGTCGCGATTGACCGAAACGATTATTAAATAAAATAATAACAAAAAAAACACTATACGCGCTCATGAGAAAAGTGGCCGAAAAATGCACTTAAGTGTTTCGGTGGCAGCAACGGGGGTTCTGGCCTTATACCCATAAAAACGTGTGTACAAGATTATAATAAAATGTGATTCTGACCGGCTGATCGTGAGGGGCCTGTGCACGAGCTATTAGCTGCCCGTCAATCAAAACCGAATAGTACGCGCGACACGGTAAATATCTTCCATACGTAAAAAGGTGTCTGAGAAGTAATACCGTGTTGTTATTGAAGTGTAACTGCACTCTCGCGTCTCAATACGACGTCCGATTTCAAATTCTACTAAAATTATATGTGCTATTAAATTGTACTTGAACACATTATTCGAGACACGAGACGCGTTGTTACATTTAAAGGACGTACGTGTTCACCTTTTGGGTTGTTTTGGAATTCACCGAAGCAGCTGAAGAAAAGCAATTACATTCTGGGCCGTCGGCCAACTATGCGTTCTCGTTAAGTCTCGTCCTCCGTCCAAAGCTCACGGGCATCATCGATAAATACACTAATTAATGTTATGTAAAAAAACCAACAGTTGAAATTTACTTACAATAATTGGATCCGCACTCCTCGCATCCCCGAACTCTTCCTTCTCGTGTGGGAAAGTTATTATGATGATTGCTTATAACGGACATTTTAATAATATCACGTTAGATTAATTAAAAAATAAAAAAAATTATGCCTAGGAAGTTTGAATAGCTACCAACGTTTACTAACAATAGCCCTGCAACTAACGCAAATGTATATGCATAATGTTTTAATGTATCCCTTCTCGACAATATGGTGGATTTCTTATCTCGAAACCGGTTTCGCTGCATAAATTTCGCTCGTTTCGCCTGAGATTTTCGGGACTGCACCCAAAGCCAGGGACCGCGATGTAGTCTCTCGCATGCGGTTCTGTCGTGCACATTAGATGGTATCTCGTGCGGATTACCATTATTGCGTCTCGTGTGTACCGTCTTCGCGCCTCGCGTGCTTTAACGAAATATTGTCCCAAACATAACGGCATGTACATACTTCGTTTTGTGTAGATAAAACCTCTCCAAGAGGTTCGGCAAAGGTAAAGACATTTCGTTATCATTTTTAATCTTGTGGCGGTCGTCGGTGAATTCAAGTGCCCGACGCTATTTCATAAAAACAACGGTGCCTGGCATTTGTGGGCACGCAACTAAACGTCCATGGCACCCGACATTTTGTGGGCAAATCAACCGAGAAACGTTCAGTGTTGTTTCGTCTAGCCACTTTTACATAATCCGCTCGTGTTCGCGTTGTTTCCAATTACACGCCGTTTTACGCTTTACTGCGTTTTATGTCTTCGAGTTTTTTTAACACGCGGAGAAATGATTATGCGTTTTTGTAAATTGCATGCGTCTTGCTCGTTATCACACTAGTAGAGTCGTATAAATTCATATTGATCATAATTTAATGTGATGCCGAGAAATTTGTGATTAATTATTCCGTTTGTTTTTCAGGCCGACTTCTTCACCAAACGGTTCGTTATTATCGTCCCAGTTGAAACCCTCCAACGGACTTACTGGATTGGAAATTGGCGGATCCCAACTGAGTGATCTTCAAGGTCTATTCCTACATCAGCAGCAGCAGCAGCAGCCGTTAAAAAGAGAACCGGAAGACCTGAGCCACCACCGGGGAGCCAAAAACAATGCGGACGCGTTGAACAAGGCCGGACGGCCCAAAGTGGTGTTGGTCGCGCCGGGTAATCACGCGCAAGAGCTGGTCGTTGACGTGGTCAACAACAACAATAACAATCAAACCAATAACAATAACAACAGCGGTAGCATTAAGGAAGAATACGGACACTCGCCGCCACAACACAACAACCGGTCGATAAACGGTACGCCGTCGTCCACCTCTTCTCTGATCGCGGATATGAACCCTCCGCCACCTTCGATCGAACTCATCGCCACCCCCGACGGACTCAAGCCAATGTACGGCACACACATTTTCACGGCCATGTCTGGTCAACACACAGACAGCGGCACGCCGTCTCCAAACTCTTATGAACATTCGCAGTACACGACGTCGTCGGTGCTTGGCGCCAATCCCGGGTACATCACCACGTCCGCGGGACGAGCGCCATTTTCCGACCCCTATTACCGTGAATACTTTGGCGGTGCAGCCGCTCCCGAGCCTTATGCCACTCAAATTAGACAGACCGCTTCCTATGGTAGCGACGCTTCAGACGCCGGTGCTGTTGCAAACGCCGCTGCAACCGCTTCCTTTGTTGAACGATATGTCCGTCAAAGTTCATACAACAACAAAGGCGTGATAGCGGCCGCTGGTCTTACCGTCGACTTACCATCGCCCGACAGCGGTATTGGAGCCGACGCCATCACTCCCCGCGATCAAAATACCATTCAACAGGTAATTGGCGTGATTTATTTTATAAAAAGTATTTCTGTATAGTTTTTTTCCTACTTTCAAAATTACACTTGACGAGGTTTTTTGTATCATTTTTTTTTTATTTTTGATTCGTTTATTTTACGTAACTAAAATCAATCGAATTAACATTGTTAAAATTATTCGACGGTAGTTGCAACAGACATTAACGACCACTTTCACATTTCTATGTAACTACCTTAAGTGTATTAATAAATTATTAAAACCATAAATATCTCAGTAAATGCGACTAATTGCGCTGATAGATTTAATCAGAATTAAAAAAAAAATCCATTAAACTTGTATTTTTCTAGCGAGCTAGAATTGTTAAAATCGAAATAGTATCGCATACATCAATAGTCTTATGTTTTGTTTTTGTCCACAGTCTTTTGACTACAGCGAAATGTGTCAAACTCCGAGTATGCTCGCAGAACACCAACCTCAAAGAACACCTTCCAGCGGCCGGTCGAGACCGTGGCACGACTTTGGCAGGCAAAACGACGCCGACAAAATCCAAATACCAAAAGTGTAAGCAAACAGTGTATTATAACGAGCTAAAATATAATTGCACTAAAGTGTATTGGCCCGAGGTTAAAAACTCGATTTAAATCCACGACAGAGATATAATATAAACGATATTCCCGTACACAAACTTTCGCTACTTGTTTTTGGGCGCCGACTGAATTTTAAATGATTTACACGTGTATGCACAGACTTTCCAGAATTATTGAGAAAACGATATGTTTGTCAACCGAGTAAAAAAAAAAAAAATTTAATTACCTCTTCGGACGAATAATAAATTCAAACTTCGGCATTTTCGTTTAAATGTCCAAACCAGTTTGTCACGCGTGATTTCTTTCTCTTCGCATAAATTTATACGCGTATAATTTTTTTTATCTGAAATTTTTTTCCGTCTGGAATCCGAGAGCACGTCGTTTATTCTCGGTCGGACATACGACCCACTTTGCGCGCTAAATTTTAATTAACCGCCCCCGGATGTGTACCCAACCGCTCCTGCCCAGTCGACAGCGTTTCGTTTTATTTTTTCTACCTAAAATATCTAATAGGCGTGGCCGTGCGCGTTTTTTAGATATCTGTACTTTGCAGTGGTCGCTCAAGGCGCGCGCGTACACACACACACAACATCACGGTACATAGTCTATTTATTATTTGAAAGAAAGAAAAAAAAATTATACACGATCTGAATACGCTTTAGAAACGCCCTAGAATTCAGCGCAACGATATGATCGGTTGTCCGGAAACCGTTCGGTCAGCAGAGAAATCGACGACCGTTTCCCATTATTATTAGTAATACCGAGTCCTGCACGAAGTTTATCTTAATTAATTTTTAATTGGAACATTAATATCTATACGATTCGGTACATTGACACTTAAGGATTATTATTTATTCTCGTAAAAATATTCGTACCAAAACGATCGGGCGATACGCTTGGACTAAATAATCGTCAATGCGCATACAAGGAGGAGAGCCATATACAATGTTATAACACATCTAATGCCCCTCACAACAACACCCCCTTGGGAAACTGTTGTATTGACTCTTTCGCAATTGAGACAGCCTCTCACAGTGTAACACAGCTTTTGCTTTACGTGTCCGTTATCGTTGTTGTTTTAGATTCTCAAACTACGGATTCCGGTACTTCTTGGAATCTCCGATCTCGACCAACCAGAGGCGCGAAGATGACCGAGTGACGTACATCAACAAAGGTCAATTCTACGGTATCACCATGGAATACATACCGGACCCCGACAAGCCGTTGACCAGCCAAACAGTCAAGGTAACGTCTTTTTTCGTTAATTAATCGCTCGTCCGTTTAAGTTGCACGTGTGGACACAGCGGTAGAGTTACGCCTGCACAAAGGTATAGCGACGTGTGATACAAGATAAAAAAACAAACTGGCCACACGTAGTTAATTATAAGCAAATAAATGTAGGCATGTTTGAATTCATTTGAATATGTCGCCTGATAAACTACTCGCAATAACATTAGGTGGCGACTTTCACCGCGTGGAGTTCATCTGTTCTTACGGCGGTCGTTCATATATTCAAATGTGTACATTTATCTCGCCGCGAATCGAATAAATAATATGCGGTAAAATGGTAAACTCGTTTCGAAATTATTGAAATATATTAAGTAAATGAAAAAAATCACGTAGACGTAGTTTTTTTTTTTTAACGAGCCATCTGAACACAAACTTTAGANGTAAATGAAAAAAATCACGTAGACGTAGTTTTTTTTTTTTAACGAGCCATCTGAACACAAACTTTAGACTTGTTAGTAGAGCCGCACGCGCCAGTAATATGAACGAATCGAGTTTCATCGAAATCTCGTTGCGTATATTTTTATATATATAAGGGTGTGGTGTCTTACCGTGATTTACTAATTTTAACACTTGTTTATACAGTCGAATCGCGGTGGTGGGACATCCTGTAGATGTATTTATACGTATGTTGTATTTCGTTGACCGCAACAGTTGACTTTATCGGCCTACAATAATCCGACTATTGCAAACTACCATTATGACAGTAATCCAACTGTTATTTTCCAAAGTCCAACTATTACCGGACCGACGATAATTTACCGGTCTCGGTAAAATATAGACTTTATCCGACGATTATCTCGAGCACTGATCAATGCCGTGAAAGTTTTTTACAGGCTAAGGCTGTTACGATGCATAAGATCTATTGATTTTCGTTTCTTTCATTTTCACTATTTACCGAGATAAAATATAATCGGGAGCCGCCGCTCCGTTCTCTTGCCCCGGGCCCAAAACAAATAGTCACCGCGCGGACCATGGAAAAGATTCACAGCGGTACACTTTTACATAATAATGTTGTTATGATTAAGTTGGATGTTTCATTTAATCTCCGGTTACTCTTGGAAAATAAGAAACGTCACAAGTTCTGCGTTACATAGTGTGTTTACGCTTACAAAATACGTTGGTAAGCACAAGTATAAATCTGCACCACGACACGCTCGTGAACATCCATCTTTGGACGAACGTGTTGATAATCATAACATTAATCGCTCGCACATATGTATGCGTATAAAGATCGTCGTAATATGTATAATAATACACGTATATCTCGGGGCCATCGCAACGGTCAATGGGTTTAAAAAACTGTTGGCTCAAGGTGATTATTAGATATAGAAGCTACTAAATGGTTGCGGGGTAGATTGTTGTGATTGGGAGGTGCGGGTCCAGAGTAGGTCGATGACCAGTGCGTCTGGAGCCTTGTTTTGGGTACTTAACGTGTTATTATACTGTACTATACATACTTCATATGTATTTTTCACTAGGAAGAAAGTAATTGGGCCGTCTTCTTGTAATGATCGGTCGCCGCCGCCGCCGCCTACCACGAGTTCGCCTACCTACGCCCAAGTCTCCCTCGAGATTTTCATCTAAATAATATTTATACATGCACCGCGTTATATATTTCTCCTCCGCCATCACATCTCGTTCCTCCGCTGTCTCACCGAGGGCCCCTTTGGCAGTGTTTCCATTTCGATAGTTCATACCCATAAAACTTAATAACTATTTGGACTATAATTAAATAATATTCGCGGTTCGTTTTTAAGACTAAGGGAAAAAAACCGTTGCGACAGCTTGTAATTTATCGTACACCAAATTCGCCGTACAGGTCGTGCGCTTTTTGCTGATAATTTTTTTCTATTAAAACTCCATGCAAAATTATATAAACAATAATAAGCGCCGGTATTTTTAATTATATTTGATCATTCATTGTCAATTAAATTACAACGGAAATTACCTGCGATATTTCTTGTCAGACATAAGATTGTCGACGAGTATACTTTTCGTCAGTTTTGTATTTTAAATTGAATTTGACGACGATGCGTTTTTTTTTTTTTTAATCGACCACAAAATTTCATGACCTCTGATTTCGCCCAGCGGCCGTCAATGTATCGTGCACAGTCAAATCACAATAAACACATTGTTATTTTTCACCGGAGTTTTCAATTATAATTGTTACCCGTATATACGTTAAGACGACAGACATCGATTTGGTCTTTCATTAAACAAATAAAAAAAATTTCCTCGTACTTGGACGTATACAATATTATACAAGAGGTCTATCTCAGGGAACCTGTTGCCGTCCGTTCGCCGCACTGTCTCCGTCCCGGATGACTGTATATCCGTAGGTAGCTGAAGCAATTGCAATGTCCTATTGATTTATGTGGTTGAAAATTAAATATACCAGCCGTATGTGCCACGTACAATGTGCGGTAATAAGTCGGACCGTATTGGTAATGCATTGCCTCTGTAGTGTATATGCCAATGTGACCGTGTTGAGGCTGCTGCGGCGATAGGAGTTTCAATAATTTATAAGTTTCGCGCACCGGGCGCACTTGCTGAAAACACAGACCGAAGGGGTGCCGGGTGTGTCCGGCCACCAACCTTCCCCCGGTGTAATTTTAAATGATTTTAAAGCGCAATACATGCAATCAGGCATCACGAGTTTTTTTACGCCAACTCCTTCACCGAGTATATTCCATTTGTTATGCGAACCTATTCTGAATCGTGTCGCACGATGGTGTGTCACCACGGTAGTTGCGAGGGCCGAGATATACATAATTCTCTTTTTGTACAGACTTGTGTCAAATTTTTACTACCGTCGTAATTCTATATGCTTGGCTTACTGTTTTTTCTTTATTTTTTTGTATCGAAATATCGGAAAGGAAAAAAATCAAATGAATTATCATCTTCGCGGCGAGGGATAAAAGGCAATAACGAAAACGAAACTTGACGGGCGTTAAAATCTCCTAGACTCTTAAATTATTATTGTATACGGTCGACGAATACACATCAACGATTTCGCTCTTTATAACACACACACGAAGAAGGCTAAAAGGAAATTCTTGTTCTGTAAGATTAGGCGACAGCAGCGTTGAATGTATAATGTTTTTTTTTTTTTTTTTACATTATTACTTTTTTACGTTTTTATAAATACATCTATACACTCTCATCAGACGAACATCTCGGATTCTTGGGGTCAATTGTCAACTCTCGGCTATATTGGATTTCATGATATGTACACACACACACACACACACACACACACACACACTGACTACGGGTAATGTATTATGCGTACACCGCAGTTCTCACGAGACACCTGTCTTACGAATTTATCTTATATTTTTCCGCCTGTGAATTCCGATGGAAATTATCTCTTTTTCGTATCTGTCAGATCGGTGTCGCATATAAAATATGCATATTCTTCTTACTATATTATGTATGCGGTATATATACATTAGTGTAAAAGAGCGGCGGCGGCGACATCGTATAACACATTAAATATAATTTTCATATTTTTATTTTAGTAATATTTTTTCATATACGAATATGTGTCCAATAAATTATTGTATACACTGCGTTTGTACGTATAATATTGTAAAAGCAACGAAAAAGATCATGATTTAAATATTCCTTTTGTGTTGTTATTATAACAATTGCCCCCGAAGCTCTCGGACGGGAGCGATCCGCGTCTCTATACGAAAATTATGTTTTTACCGTGTGAATTTCAGGGGTTAGTGTCCACTCGTTATGATATATGTACACTTTTGTTCGAGTGGGCGGTCTTTTTTCTTTTTCAATCGGTCGCGGACGGCTTGCGACACGATTCCTCCACTATATATTTTATTCGGACAATTACACGATTATTATACAGCGACGGAGAAAAAAAAGACGCGGTTAATTGGAAAACTACAATAATAATCCACCTACTCGACCGGTCATTTATACAAGTGCCTGCGTACAGCGTTGTATTGTAGAGCAGGTGGTTGTTTTTGTTGATAATCAATGTGTGCCGCAGTCGTATGTTACCCGACGAGTGGTGCACTTAAGGGGAGAACGGCGCACAGCGGGTTAAAAAGCACACCGAGAGTTCAATGATTTCTTTCCGGAGGCACAAGACGGGGTGGGTTGTGTCCGACGTGAAAGAAGGCTCACGTATTTCATATCTCATTACTCGATTATTATTATTATTAGGTTTGGTGGCCGCCGCTCATCATCGTTCAGTCCAATTAATTCCGAAGATTTCGATTATCATTATTGCTCTTGCTAAGTTTTTATTTAATTTTTTTTAATAATAACCAATTTATTTCTTACAAAAGAATAGATGATTCACGTACACAGAAGGGTTCGGCTAAATTATACTTAAAAAGAAGAACGAGTAATAACAGTAGCGCTCCTCCGCCACACGCATTTTTGTGTGTTGCATTTCTCAGTATTATCAGCAACGCCGTCATTTAATTTCATTGCGAGTCCAATGAAAGAACAACTCTTTTTTTTTGTTTTGTGTATTATTATTATTAAATAAATAATAAACTACAACGAAGTAAACACTACTCGTCCTCTGACTCATGCGAATGTGCGCACTCGCCATCACTATCGGTGCTCTTGTTTGCCGCCCGGTGTCCACACGTTTTCATAATGAACGGGTATGATGCCGATGAGACACTAAGCTTAAACATGCATTACATTATGACTCATTTCGCACACCGACGAATCCGATTGTTATGAGAATTATTTATTTTATATTTACAGAGCGTGGTAATGTTAATGTTCAGAGAGGAGAAAAGCCCCGACGATGAAATCAAAGCGTGGCAGTTTTGGCATGGTAGACAGCATAGCGTCAAGCAGAGGATACTCGATGCCGGTAAGTAACGATTTGTGCCTGTTGTTCGCCATTCGAACGGGCAAACGCAAACCTACCGGTTGTCTTAGTTGTACCTTTGGATTAGGATTAGCTTTCTGTGGAGAAAATCTTTCGTCTGCACTTGGATTTGATCCTCTTTGAGATTTATTCGTGTAATCAAACACCGTCGTCCGTTATCCAACGACGAGGAGAGGATAAGTAACGTTCGTGTTTTAATGGAAGACGACCAAGACGTATAGGAGGGTAGAGTGTAAAAACCGTCGGACCGAACCGAATCGTTCTCGTGTTACACACACGGCGGCGTTCTTAAAAAAACGTCGTCGGGTTGACATATCCCAACGTGTGTAGCGTACACACTAAATCGCTTATAAAGTACACTCGGGAAACGCCGTTGTATCCATTTTCCATCATCGCTCGGGCAATAATATTAACAATTGTCGTTTATTTATCACCGCCGGTCTCGGCCAGAGTAATTAATAACGTCCCCTCCACCGTCCAACTTGTAATCCACGAGACATACTCTGCCCGGTCATGTATCGCGGCATTTGTACGCGTATAAGTCCGTGTACGTTTTACATATCTATACGCATTATGTTTTTTCATCGATGACTACGGGCCGGAGATGGCCGCCGCGGATAACAACGTGGGCACAGATTACTCGAACACGATTCGTTACTTTGTGTCGTTTGGCATTACGGCGGCCGCTCGACATGCATACACATTTTTATATGAAACGTACATAGCGGTCAGATGTTTTAGTTGCTCCACACTCTGCATATGATTAGTGTCTCCGTGGTAGTGTAGGCAATAGTATCTGTGTACGCTGAACGTGTATTTTTTTTTAGGTCCACATCGATTAGTTCTCTCGATCGGTTTTTTCTCTCTCTATTAATTTCAACGGAAACCGCAAGCTTAAGCCGTCCATCGGTCACCAAACTCCGCCTCTAACGGATTCCCGGGTGTAATAATCGACGTTGCCTATAAATCACTATAATATTCGTTACCTTTGCGACGCCTTCGCATTTATTATCACATTATAGAAATCGATAATGGCTCGGCCGAGATTTCGCTTATTTACATGTTATTTTTTTTTTATTTCTAAATAACGACGTGGTTGACATGTGAAAATCGCATCAGTGTGGTCAGTTTCCATAATTGCGAGCCACCGGATAACAATCGAACTCCGCTAGATTTCGTTTTGGAAATCGTCGCCGTGATGTAACGATATCACCGAGAGCCGAACTCCCATTATTTGCTGGCGACTAGTTTTTTTTCCATACACTAGTGAATATACTGTTGACCTTTTATGCCGCATTAATTGTTTGTTCCCTTTAACAGTGCGCCGTGTATTTCCCTCGGACGGCGTACTCTTAACGTACACGAAGCGCATACATAAATGCAACTTCCCCTGTTACAAGTGCAAAAAATAGTTTCCATCCGTGTCTGTCACGTATCCGAAAATGGATAAGCCGTGTACGTGAACTGGAATCCGTCAATACTTATATGAGTAGTACTCGGAATGTAGTCTTACACGCGTGCACGTCAACCGTGTATAGACAACAAGTGATATATATTTATACATATAATACACAATAAATAAACAGAACCGATTTCTCGCGGCCAATATAATATTATATATTTTATTTCCATATAAGAATATTAACATGGCCCGTCGTCTGCTGCTAAGTACGCGGTTTAATTAAGACGGGGGGAGGCCGTCGATAAGTGTATATATGTACATAGAGTATTTGTTGTCCTTGTGAAAAATAAAAACTAAAATGTGTAGAGATATACTGCTCACGAGACGTCTCAAATCCGATGGTTTTTGTGTGTGTTTTTTTAATTGCGTGTACTCAATGTCGTTATTTATATCAATGTAATTTTTTTCCATCGTATACTGTTATATTCTAATGAGTTTTCGTGTCCAATACGACGGTCGACGTTGTACCGTCGTGTGTCACCAGCTAACATGTGAAGTCAAGCTTAAAAACACATTCGAAAATGATAATAAATTATACCTATTGACCGTGTATGTGGTGCCCGTTTCTTGCATCTTATAAGGTCACCGTCGATCGGTGAACCTAAATAATCGTATCGTAGAATAAAAAATAATAAAAAAAAAAAAAAAAATGTCGGTAAAAAAACGATAAAAACCGAATACATAAATTAGATTCTCGGGAGACGACGACAACGACGTATTTCCTTAATTGACGTTATCGAAAAACCATCGGCCATCTTTGGGTCGTTTTTTTTATTTTATTAAAAATATATTTTTAGCATCCCAACGTTTCTTCGGACGTTTATTTTTCATATGACCAGAGGAGAATGAGAGGGCGAGAGCTCGTTTGTGGGGAAGAGCACACGAAATTCTGCATTGTTCTGTTTGGGCGATATTTATAGTTTTTGTTCTTAGCAAAAAAAAAAATATAAAAAATTACTCAAACAACAACAATGGTCTACTGTGTTTCGAGATCGTAAATTCTTTCTTTTTACTTCGAAGACGTTCACTCATATGCGTACGAATGTCCCATTGTTTCGCGTCTTCCATTCTCGCTCGTTGTTATTTTATTTTTTATACCAATATATCATTGTACTATTCCATCAGAAAATATACGACATTATCTCTGCGCATAGCGTCCGGTTTGCATTAAAAATCTCTTTCAACAGCTTCTTTGGCCATTACAATTACTAGTTATGACTCGAAAAATAATCGTAGGCATTTATTATTGCCCATCAATTCTGAAGATTTTTATCCGATCATTTTTTTTTTCAGTTTAGAAAAATCAATAGGCGACGTTTGATGTTGAATAATTTAGGAAAATAATTTCTCTAAATATATCATTTTTCTAAATTAGCCAATGATTCATTTTTTTATTCGATTGCGTTTCTCTCGACATTCTGTAATTATTTTTATTTCGTATTAGANCGTTTGATGTTGAATAATTTAGGAAAATAATTTCTCTAAATATATCATTTTTCTAAATTAGCCAATGATTCATTTTTTTATTCAATTGCGTTTCTCTCGACATTCTGTAATTATTTTTATTTCGTATTAGAAATTCACAACAGAAGGTCTATCGTTCTTCCGACGAACAATTATTTTTTTTATACGCAAAGTTTCACCCGAATCATATTGTGTTCGAATGCCCAATCGGATTTTTACAGTAAGTTCCTCCTTTAATAGTTCGTATGCAAAAAATAACCAAAAACATTTAAAATTGTCAACCGTAAAAATGTCGTCATCGGCACGTCCGTGTGAGTCGTATCTAATTAAATAGTGCGTAATACGTAAAAAAAAAAACTAATAAAGAATTATCATGGTAAAAGTCAAGTTATTCATTTATTTTAATTATATATGTTTTTTATCGTGTTATCCAGTAAAATATTCTACAGTCCAATGGATTAATGCAGTAAAATATAGCTGTGTGTATTTGTTTTTATGAGTTTCATCTGATAATTTTGTTAAATACATTTTTCAACATAAAAAACATAGCACAGCATCTTTGTGTGTACATATTAAACACACCTTATTTTTGCAGTGTGCCGTATAATAATATGCAAATGTCTTCTCATTAAAGATTTAATATCGTAATTGGATTTCGGCCAACTTTTTATGTCTTAACGTTTCTAGTCATTATCGACTCGTGATTTCACCGAGCAAAAATTCATTTTTCACCAAAAAAAAAAGTGGCGCGTCTGTTCAAGTAAAAAATGTATTATTTTATATTTCAATAGATCTTTATCGAACGCGTTGTCTAATTTTCGTTGATTTGGATAGGTCATGTCGCGTGTTACATATGATGAGCATATTATAGTAGGAACACGATTCTAAGAAGATCCTTCTCCACCTCTTGGCGTTTTACCGAAAATCGACTTTCCGGTTTTGACTTTACTACAATTTCACGTAATTCGTGTTTATGTGTAGGTGTAATAGTAAATATTCGATCGTCCGCGAGACCGGAAAAACCTGAAGAACGTACTACGATCAACCCGATGACCCATTTGTTCTGCACAAGCCGGCACGTTCGTATATTATGTAGTATTTTTGTGCTCACAAAAGCCACTGGCTATATGCAATCAGGTTCTCGGCCATGTGTTTCGGCTCGTATGCGACCGCAACCAGACCTGTTATTGAAATCGAGTTATCTTCTTCGGTAGCTCGTCCTCCTCCGCGCTGTGTGTGCGTACTACACATTTCATTCATAAACGGACATAGAAAAAAAAACTGTCCGTCATTTGTTACACTACCACGCCGGGTGCTATATCGGATCCAGTTTTATCGGTTCTCAACTACTCTGCCGTCAATAGTGCACTTGAGTCAAGTAGCCGTCTGGCGGTTTGCAAAAGCTCGTCGTGGTCTGTGGCCGGACGAGGTCTAATCGATTTCGACAATCGTTCGCGTCTATTTATTTGCTTACGTTTGTGTCATTGAGCATGCGACACTTTTTTTATTAGACCCTTCATCGACAGATTCTGTACGGCATCTGTTGGCTCGGCCACGATTTGTATTGAAGTAAATGGATTCTTGGATCGATGCCATTGCGCGTGGCGGATACAATCGCCGTGATGTTGAATGATTTATGTGCTCTCCGCGACATTAGTTTTACTGAAATATTTGCCATTCGCTCGTGTTCAAACGACGACGTAGAACATTTACCAAAAAACACTAAATGTCTGTTGATGTAAACGTTGTACTTGATTTTATTTTCGATTTTTTTAGATACGAAAAACAGCACCGGACTGGTGGGATGCATCGAAGAAGTATCACACAATGCTATAGCCATCTACTGGAATCCTCTGGAAAGTCCGGCAAAAGTATGTAGAAATATAATCTCGTAGTGTGTACTGTTTTTGAAGTGGGACGATACACTGTGTCATATTGTTACACACACACACACACGGACGTGTATTTATATATACATCTATGTATACACGGTTATTATCGCGTGCCAAAGTTGGAGACGATAATTACTATCGAGTAATGAGAACAATTTTATCCTTTTATATGTATTAAATAAATATATATTTTTTGTTCGACCAGTCGTCTGAATTCCTATCCGTCTACGCATAACAATATTAAATGGTCGGTATTTTTTCTAAGGAAATCCCACCGCGTATTTATTTTATAATAATGGTAATTAATATCTGCATCACGTATAGTATCCACAGAGAAGTGAAACGAAAAGAGATTATTTTTTTCTATATATTGTATATGAACTTCTGAAACGCTGGTGCGATTGCTGCTGCCGGTAGATGCGTGTGTATCCGTTCGGTTTGTACGAGATAGAGAAAGAGAGAAAAAAAGAGATTGCCCGAAGGAGGCCATTTGTGTGTGTGTGTGCTAAACGAGGTTAAAAAACCCATTGAGAGATGCCACGCGGCGGCGGGCGATTTTGAAATCAAAATTTACACACAATAATCGACATTACACCCGAGGCGTTCCATCAAAATGCATTTCCACAAGCATTTTTATTAAATTTTTATGCAGTATACATTACATTTAATACTTATAAGAGTTAAGTTTGTTTTTTTTAATTAATTGATTATTGTCTGTTTCAGATCAACGTCGCTGTTCAATGTCTGAGTACAGATTTCAGCAGCCAAAAAGGCGTAAAGGTAATAATAATAACATCCTAGAAAAATAATATTTTTTATTACTTAATGCGGATATGTATTACCTTCTTGTTTCTTCGTACGTGTGACGATAATAAAATTAGAGAAAAATAGAGAAAAAAAACTATTAAAAATGAACACATGCTGTTTTTCCTGCCTACAAATTTAATGCGTACAATAGTACTTTATGGAGGGAGTAATCTTAATTGGAATCCCCGTAAACTCATATAACTATATAGTTACTCCTCTTTTTTTTTTTATTGCGCTTTACCCCGAGACTCTACGTTTTCTATTTTATTACGACATACATAACGATAGCCGCTGTAATAATTCCAAAGTGTAAAATTATTCGTCTTAAATAAAAATATTTCAAGGCCTAAAATAATTTTATAAATAATAATTAGGCATAAAATCAGATTTTATTAAGAGATAGAGAAAAACGAAATAATAATTTATATTTAATATGTTAATTCACTTGACCAAATTGTTTCTGTTAATTAAATCTAAACCATTACTTCTATTTTACCTTGGATAAATTTTATTAGTCTTTCAAAACTTTGAAAAACCCAAACTGTTATTTTATATTCATACTGTTTGCTTATCCCCTCTCTCGTATATTTTAATATACCATTATTTAACTCCCCAAGAGTTTACTCCTTCTAAATAAAAATACTTGGAGCTGACTGTTTTTACATATGTTTATTTCTATTAAATTAAACGTATACATTACCAAAGTCTTGGATTAATTAATATTCTGACTTTATGTATAATCACTATGTATTAATTAAATATATCTGTTTATTTATCAATAGTATTCATATTAAATTCAATACAACTGTAAGCACGTTTAAGAATTACAAACTACCATTGATTGCTTAATTTCATCTTATTAATTGCTTCTAATTTGCACTAAATCTCTAATTATGTAATTTTCAAATAGCTAATTTGTTTTATTTGATTTTTCAAGGGCTTACCATTACACATTCAAGTTGACACCTATGAAGAACCTAGAGACGGTCCAGTGTGTCACAGAGGATACGCCCAAATTAAAGTTTTCTGTGATAAGGTGAGTCTATTTCATAATTAACGTTCTTGTTAAACGACTCGCGTTTCATAACTCAACGGTAGTAAAACTTTCTTGGGATACCCGTGCTGCCCCCCAATGTGGGGTATAAACTCAAAGGAGAAAACAAAATTAATTCCGCACTGTGCCCAGCGTTTAAATCTTTGACTTTCCGTTCTACGCGCAAGGCACTCTGCCGCTTATTTTATGGTTATAAATGTTAGCAATTACGCAGCCTGTAGGTTTACCCGCTCGCATACAATCATGTGCTCATAATAATAATAATAATAATAATGCAATGTACACATGAAAGAAAAATGCGCCGTGTTGATTAAAGCCGCTGAAATGGTCATTTATTTTTTGGCCCCCAGAAACCTCCTCAGCTACCACCATAGGTACGACACATTATATATCTTACCACGAGATCAGACACACGAAACAGCGCTCGTAACGCAGCTGGAAGGTTTATGTAGATATAGATACACACGCATGACGGTACGAAGTCGTTGGATGTTGTTTTTTTTTATTTTAAATCGTCCGAAGCTCCTAATTTACTGCACGCACCTCTCCTAACATGCATACGCGTCAGACCACCAAAATTAACTACCTCCGAGTTCTCGTTTGTTATTTATGTACACATATATTTTCTAAACATCTCGTCCGAAAAAGTGTTTTATTTTTCCCTCGTGAGGCGTGTGCACGTATACAACCGCCATAACGTGACGTCGTGTTCCTCACCGAATACGTCCAGTGCAGCATTACGTAGTACATGTAAACCCTCAACGACAAACAAAACAATTTTTACATTTCTGCATACAATATAAGGCCCATTGGCGTATATAAGTCCGCCAGAGGTTACCGTCTGTCGATTTAACTTGTACGAGTCGTATGCCAAATTCGGACATTTCAAATTCAGCTTTTGCTCGTTTCAATATTTGTTATTACATTTCCTCTGCTTTGATATTATTTTACCGTCAATTACAGTCCGTTTTAACCTGAATTATACTTCAATGCTAAGCATTGCTTGAACATCTTAGACCAAATGCGGTACATTTTATACAAGTTTTTAATTACAAACATTTTATGTCGAATAACTATATTTTTAAACAATCTCTGCAGAATATTATAATTTTGTTGTAAGTTGTAGTTATTCTGTCACATTGTTCATAACATCCACAATTGTACATTAGTTTCTTTTATAAAGGGTCTGATTTTATGCTACAATAGTGTAATAGTAATAAAACACACAATAGTAATAAAACTATAAATAGTGATAATAACATTGACGTTATAAACATCCAAAACGATGGAATACCATTTGCTACCTGCTACTTGGTATCTCACAATAGTGGTTGTCACATATTCTTATTCGATCAAACGTTCCCTTAGACACTGTGTATACATAAACGATCTATGAACACATATCACCCTTCGAATCGAATTTGTTTCTTTTTTTTAAGATCGAACCGATTGACGTTTACGCGTCTGTCGCTTTACCGCCATACATCATCAGCTCATTAATATCAAAGGAGCCGTCCAACCTTGTAAAAAGAATACAAGTAGGTTACGGTAGACGTCGGGATAAGTAGCATAAAATGCAGACGGGGAACGTTCTTTACACATTTTTCTAGATTGAAATTAAAAAATATGTTTTCATGTCAAATTGTTCTCGAAGAAAATCGTCAAGTATAATTACTCCTTAGCTGTACACTATCCGGTTGTGCTGCTGTTACTGCGCTGACATTGTACTAAATTCTCAAGTGACAATTGAGGACACGAAAATAAATCAGTTTATTGGATTTCGAAAAACCTATTAAAATCCGGCCGAGAATACTTACAAGTCGTGACACAAGTATTGAAAACCACAGTGCTTGTCTTATGTTAAGTCTTTATTCAGAGTTAACCAAAAGCGGACAGAATTACCGGAATAGCTTTAACGTTAAGCTTGTTAAATCACACGTTCTTATGTTTTTAAATTAAATTTCTTTTTTTTATTTTTCAAGACGGCCGCATTATTTATCGATGGCAGAAAATAATTTTTTATACTATACGTACTCCGAGAACATAAGTATTTAAAAATATCTCTCGCTACGTAGTGCAATACGAAATTATTTATTTAAATCCTATTAATAATAACATGGATTGCGGTGTTATAATATGCGGTGACGTGTTCACTTGATGTGCAAACGAAATAAATAATAAATACAATGCTTGAAAATATTAATTTTAATTTGAAATCTCAACTATACATCCTGAACTCAAGGTTAGGTATTTTCCAATAGTAATTTGTGAAAATTCGACTTAAAATTGACAGAGATCGTCGACTTTTTTATGAATCATTTGGAATCCCTTGGCTCACGAATGGAGAAAACCGATAAATTGAATGGTAAACGTTTTATTTCGTTTAATTACGGCTTTATTGATTTACTGGTACCTGCTTCGGACATTTTATGATTTACCGACCGTATAGATAAAAAATACATGTAATATAGTATATTAAATCGTTTAAATTATCTGCCGGTGTATATCGTATATGGTGTGTATACACGTACATATATATTGCAGACTGACACAACGTGTAATCTTTTATTATAACTATATATATTTTTTTTCCAAACGATTTATAACGCCCGGACCGAAGGCGTCTGCGTTTTCCCAAGAATAAAGACCATTATAATATTATTATAATAAAAAAGTTTAGGCTAATGTAATAAATGTAAAATTACCGGGTTCGCGACAACAAGCCGTATAATAATAACGGTGTAATAAATTTCCATTGGATTCTCTCGTACCGTTTACATTGAATGCGGCCTATTTAAAATTTATTTTCGGTTTTACCGTCGTTTGATCTCGTCATTCGTCGTGTAAAACCGTATAGCGTTGTAATTTGATCGTTAATTTTATGATTATTTTTAGGGAGCCGAAAGAAAAACCAGAGACGAAGAACGCAGAGCAAACAAGAGAAAAATGACGGCAACCGGACGCAAGAAGATCGACGAACTGTACCATCCCCCGTGTGAACGGTCAGAGTTCTATTCCATGAGCGACCTAAGCAAACCCCCAGTGCTTTTTTCGCCGGCAGAAGACATAGACAAAGTAAATTGAAAACATAGAAATATATTATTTTTTTTTTTTTGAAATCGAATCAAATACCGATTTAGTAATGTTGTGCCCATAAATATTTCTAATACAATCGTTTTATTATAAATTATGGAATACTTTTGTTCGTGTTCAATGTCAATTGAATGCCATTAGGATGTACTCGAGTTCATTTTAATTAAAATATTTTTAAATAATTTAATCGTTATTAAGGCAAAGTATTCAGTTCTTTGAGTGATTAATATTAATTATCGTAAAATATTTTTTGCTTGATTAACTATGACGGTCGAATATATCGTCGAACAGTCTTATGGTGATTTCAATGACGTACCGCGGTTATTTTCTATTTCAATTCAGGAATTCATTAAGAATCGTCTCGATATCAATATTCCACTAACCTTGAGCGTCTCATGTTTTTTTATAATTTATGAATAATATCTTCTTTTTTTTTTATGTAAATACAAACTTTTGCTACATTAGATTGTTTTGTTTATTACTTCTTAACAATATTTTCAAACTATTACAGTTGACGTCGATGGAACTTCAAGGATTCTACGGGCACGACACCGACACGTCCAGCCTGTCCAACGGCGAACCAGGGTCGCTTAAACACGCTTCGCCATTCCTATTACACTCCGGAGTAGCCAACAAACCAGCTGTCGCCACGACGCAAACGCTCAAGTTCCACAACCATTTCCCGCCAGATACGCACAGGTGAGTTTACCTTTCGTACTATTATTTTAAACACGATTATGCATTCACGTCTCAGAAAAACTCTACGAAAACAATCGTTTTCGCTGATCCTATCGTGTTATTATTGTTTCTGGAAATTGTGTTTTAATCCGATCGTAATTATTTTATGACGCGACCCCTAAAATTAGACTTCAAAGTTTAACATTAAAGCTGTTGGGGCGCTCTACTCATAAAATCGGGTTGGCTGCCTAGTGGTTTCCTAGTAATGTGTCACGAATTGCTTTTAGATTTGTTATTTTCCATTCAAATCGATAATAATTATGATGAAGTAATGTATCCATGTTTTTAACGCGTCTGGGCGTGTTTGCATAGCAATTTATCATATAATTTTTATCACGAGTTTAACGACATGGTACGAAATGTTTTTTACATAACAGCGTATGTTATTACAACAGCGAGAAAAAAGAAGTGCTGGACCAGAGCGGACTAACCACTGACGGAACTGTGTTCTCGAGTCCGCCCAACAAACGGTCCAAACTTGTGCCGCCCATCAACGAGCGAGTAATGCTGTACGTCCGGCAAGACGCCGAAGACGTGTACACTCCCTTACACGTCATACCACCAACGACCCAAGGACTTTTGAATGCTGTAAGCACAGACTTCATTTATTATTGAAGTACTCCCTATTTATGACCAACAAGTACATATACTTACTCTCTATTATATATTTTTCTTTTGTCGATATTTTACTTACATTTTTTTTTTTTTAACTGGTTGTCTATAAAAATAACAATATATTCGTGCTGCTTGGGATGATTATTTCACTCGCATAACATTTAATACACATTACTGTCAATTTAGTATTGCGTCACGTCATAAGTACTATAAAAAACTTACTCCGACGATTCTCGTAGTTTTCGTTTTTCTCTGCTATTGATAAACTCTTGCGTGTGTATCCTAAACACCATAATAATCCTAATAACAGCAGTATGCTCTTATGATACGTGTGTTTCGACCAACACGATGGGCCTATAATGGCTTTCGTGTACTTTTAGTATCACCGCTGCCGCAGTGGTCACTTTCCAAAACATGTGCTTATGTAACGCGGCGCGCGACACCGTTGGACGTATGTGATTTCGGATACTACAGCGCACATAATTAAAAGAGTTTCTTATTATTATTCAAATAAAATCATTATTGCTATTGCGCAAAGATTATAACACTGTAGTACGACATCAGAAAATATATATATTATTATGTCATAAAAAAAACGTTCGCTTTGAATTTTTTTTTCGCATTTCCGTGTCCAGCTGCGATAAACGCTTTTCACGAAAACTCTATTAATCATCTTTCCCGTCTATATGATTTTAATACGCAGAACTAAATACACAAATATTTCTTATAACTTTTTTTTAACTTTAAAATATTTATTACAATAATATAAGACATTTCTGGCGATCATAACTAAAAATGCACTTAGTTTTTAAGAATATGGCATTCAGATAATTTCGCACCAAAACACATAAACTTACACATCTTTATTTATGTCATTAAAACAATCTTAACCTTATTAATGTAATTTCACAATGTCACATATATTGCTTGTTTTAAACGCAGCATGGCTTATTCTCGGATAATTACACCTTCCTCCGGTAAGTGATATACATCTTTTTTATGTCTTAATAAAATTTACTCGCTTTGCATGGCTACTAACATTTACTAATATATTAGATATTCTATAAAATCCTACTCAATTCCTCCGAATCATCACGTTGACGTTTTTTTACATCTTAAAAATAAAAATCGTGTAACTTTTAAAAATAATTATAAAAATTAAAAGAAAATAATAAAATAATAGAGATGTTGGTTCCCCTTCTTATTTTTTTTTTTATTTTTTTTTTTTTACATACGGAGTGTCAATCTCCATTTTAATTTTTATTTCCCATTATTTTCCAGATTGAGGCTAAGTACAAAATTTCTGCTTCAAGCATTAGTAACATGTATCGAAAAAACAAAAAAGGGTAAGTGGACGATTTTTTTTTTAAGTTTAATATATTTTTATTAAAAATTGTCTATTAAAAAAAAATAATAATAAATTTAAAATCATTTCCCCCAAAATGTGGTTTTTAATTAACAATAAAATCATAACAACGCTTGAGCAACTAATTTTCTGCAAGTTTGAAAGAAATTATTTAAAATTGGTGTAAAATACTAAAATTAAAAAAACTATGTTACAACTTCACATTATTCGAACATTTGTCTAACCTTTTAATTAATTAAAATTAAAAATAATTGCGATATTACAATAAGAATTTTTAAACATACAGCAAGTATATTCTAATAAAATATTTTTTACAGGATTACGGCCAAAATTGATAACGACATGCTCAAGTATTATTGTAATGAAGATTCATTTTTATTAGAAGTTAGACATGCAGAAGACAATGAAAATATGTTAGACATAATATTAATAGAATTTTTTGACCACTGAAAATAGCCAACAAATTATCTTGTTTTTGACAAACAAAATCATCAAACAATTCCTATCTCAATTTACCAATATTATGCTCATCGCTCATAATATGAACATGTTTTATTTAAAAAATATGTAAATAATCATTTATCCAAGTTAATATATATATATATATATATATTATATAGATTTAAATAAATGAATAGACTTTAGCCATTTGTACATATTTTAATTCCATATAAACATAATATGTTTATATTTTAACACCATTTTTTGGACATCCATGACATTGTATTTATTGTGATGTTTATTTTTAGTGTGTTATATTTAACACTATTTTCAAAGAAAGTTATATTTGTTGCACACCTTATGCTCAGTCAATTTTATTTTTAAGTTGTTTTCATAAAAGCAGTATTATAGAGATTTATTTGTCAATTTAATTAGAATAGATTTTTTTAATATATTTAAAATAATATTCCATTTAAAGCAAATCTTATGATAAATGTGATACGAATAAATAGCATTTGACTACTTAGCATTTAATTTTTAAGATTTTTATTAAAACTCGGTCGATTGTGATTTAAATATTGTAACCTAAAAGTATTAAAATGACAGTAGTTTGCTCAATTTCGCTGAGAACAAATAAGTTGTGAAACCATGACAATATATTGTTGTATTTCTAATGTTTGCTCATTTAATTTCGTTAGTAATTTACCTTTTTTGTTCTTTTATTATTATTATTATTATTATAATTGAGGGGCGAGGATACTATTATTATAATAAGAAACATAGATCAAAACAGATTTTGCCATGTTACTTGAAATAATATTTTTAATATTTTTATTTTTTGTATTTATCTTTTTATTTGTACATAAAATAAATTGTAGGTTCAAGCATTTTTAATTAATGTAGTATTAATTAGTGTATGTATTTAAAAGTATTATGTTTTGTTTTTAATTATCTATTGTAATTATAAGTTCAAGTTAATTCATGTTATATTTTAATATTACCCAAATTTATATCAAATAATTATGTTAGTTGTAAATATTATTTAATATTCAAAATTCATTGAATATTATTTAAACGTATAAACATTCCAGTTAATTTTTATTGTTGGTCTACTTATTAGTAAAATTATAATTCTTGCCATTTTTTTATTTGACAATAATACGAAATCCTGAGATCTGTTAAATTCTAAAATCTAGTTGTCAAAATTATAAAAAAAAAAATTAATTGCCAAAATTAGTAACATTTAATAGAAACTTTGATCTCACATCGCTGAAAAGCTGGTTATTCAATTTAAGACATTTTTATTATCAAAATTATTTTTTTAAACATATTAAAGTATTTAATGTTTATTAGTAATGTAGTGTTAAATTTAATTTAGGCCAAAAACATCACACATGACATTTTTTTGTGCAATTTTTCAGTGAATATATATATATTTTTTTTATTAACTGAAAATATTAGAATGTCTAATCTATTTAGAGTGCCATTATTTTTATTTTTATTAATTATTTTACTACATAATATTTGATGATATTTTTCTTATAAGAGAAATACTTTTCCACTTATTAAAAAGGCACAGTTTATTACTTTCATAATAATTTTTTTCTTTGTCTTTTTGCTTCATACAGTAAAAAGACTTGGTCATTATTTGTCTTAACCATATGATTGTCAATAATTTAATTGTAGATTAATAATGTATCATTATATTTTATGTTCAAATGTTTGTTGCCTTTTGTATTAAATAAAATGGCATTTTTGCAATACTATAGAAATTATATAGTTATATTTTTATTTTTGTCATAAAAATTGGATTTGTTATATAATTAGAAACATCATGTTTAGTACTTAACTCATGTTGGTATAATAACATTGTATAATGTTACTATAAAATATTTTGAGCCTATGCTACATATAGTGTAAATCAAATTAATCAATGGATATAATTATTTGTATTCTTGACTTAAATTATTAAAAGCATTATATCGTAAAATATTAATCACTTTAGTTATACAATGAATTGTGCATTATGAATTTTTATACCATGCAATGAACATTATAAAATTCAATCATAAATTACTTGTTAAATTATGCAGAGAATTTGGTCAATTTTATTAAGATCCTGATTAGTAAAAATAATTGATTTTTTAAATTTTTTAAAGGTTTGAATAAAACAAACATAAAGAGAACTAATTAGACAAGGTATATGCATAATAAACTTATAAAAAAGTATTTAATGATATTAATTCTATAGTTATAATGAATAAAAATCATTTTCAACATTAATTGTGAATGAAAAATAAGAAACTTTAAAATTGAAAAAAACAAATTATTTAAAATAAAATTTTCAACATTAATGGGTGCATAAAATGCTTTCAATTAAGTTAAGAACACAAGAAGATCCAATTTATTTCAAGCATTTGGTATGATTATTATATAGGCATTGTATGTTTTTAAGTATTTAATATTTAAGAATTAAATATCTGAAACCTTTAAAATTTAAAAAATATATATTATTTTTTTAAAAATAAATTTCAAATTTCAAATATTTACTGTTGCATAATATATATTTATGACTTATATTTTATATAAATATTTATAAAATTTTATACAAAATATTTTTAAGAAAATAGAAATAAGATTTCGTCTCTCAAAAGCATTACTAATCTACTCATGTGTAGTGTATATACAAGTTGTTACAATTTACTCCTTTTTTGATATATTAATGTAAAAAAAGCGACAAAAAAAAATATAATTTAATTTTATACAGTTTTTTATTTTTCCTTGAATAATAATTTAGTTGCAGATTATCATATATTATCTATTTATATTATACCTCTGTTAGTTTTATATTTTTTTCTATTTAAAATAAATAAATTATACTATTTTAATAACTTCTACTTATAGATGTTATTTTAGTTTTACAAGTATAAGTTGGTACATTGTAACAACAAGTCTTAAGATCTTTTCGTATTTATAGTTCACACAAAAAAATATTTTTTTTGTGATTCTAAAATATAAAATAAAATAGTTATTAAATTATAATACTATTATTAGGTATGCCTTTTAATGAAATATTTACTATCAAAACAAACTTGTCTTACATTCTCAACAAAAAAAAATTGAAAAAAAGCAATATAATTTCATTTTTATATCCAAAAATATTTTAATTTTCATGTAGGGTAAAATATGACCAATAATTTCACTAATTATTTGGGGCATCAAATTTATTTATATTATTTAATAGGCGTAGTACTACTATAAATGAAAATGCAAAATATCTCTTTTAGAACAACTAGCTTCACTTTTACCACTCGTAGTATATATGTACATTTAAATTTCATTCTAAAGATGAATTTTATTTGTGTTATATATAAATTATAGTTATATGTGTAAAATGAAATTAATAATTTTTATTATTTAGGGGTGTTCAGTAAGTAAGGAAACGGATTTTCATTGTTCTCATTGTTTGTAACAATTTACCTATTTCTTTACTTACTGAACACTATTTATATGAATTATAGTATATTGAGTTTTGACATAGTTTCAGTCAATTTTTATATATAAAAGTAATGTAAACATGTAGTCTAATATACACATAAATAGTAAATAGTTCTTAACACTTAATTACAATTTTTAAACGTCAAAAAAAAAAAATGACCATAATTAATCATTTTTATTTTAATATGCATGAGACATAAAAAACAGTGGCCTAAGACGTGCCCTGACTTAAAACTTTAGAATAACCGGATATGAGTAATATGACTGAAAAACGATTAATTTTTGTTCATGTCTAATGTATTAATTTTTATTTGTTGACAATACGAAGCTCTTCACTACCCTAGTAGAATTTTCATCACAAATAGAGCTACTTGACTTTTGTATCGATTCCTTACATACATCCGGTTGCATTGAAGTATACCTGATAATTAATATGATGACATTTGTCTAATCCTAGTATTTTTAATGTGGATGCGTGGGACAGCACGGAAGTTATTTAAAAATACATTAATCGTCTCTTCCTTCATTATTTTTGGAAAATTGCGTAAACTCTAATGGATGGCGATACAGAAGAAGTTACTTTTATGAGTGATTTTAATGATTACCCAATATTCAATAAAGTGAAAATCGATATTCGTATTACGATGCGGTCTGGCGATCAGGAAACGTAGACATATGAATAATATCGTTCAAAAATTTTTTATATCCATTATAGTACACTACGAATCAGTAAAAATATTGACTTAATCATTTTCCCATTCAGTTACCATTTTTATTGAAAAAAAGGGAAATTTCATTAAGATATACATGTGTACATGCCAATTCGCTAATATGTTTAAATTTTATTGTACAATTATATTACAGAGGCAAAATTATAAAATAAACAAAATAGATACTTTTACACTATGTAATAGTTAGGCTGGTGTTAATTTAACATAAATTAGTTAAAATTAAAGATTAATAAATTAACAAACACAAGGAATTTAAAAATATTTTAAGTAAATCAGTTTAATTAACATTATCACTTATAAAAAATGTTTAATTAATCAACTTCAATTTTCATTAACTATTATAGACTGTTATGTGTACACCCCTACTTCCTATGTATTCATTTAAGTGTATTATAAAATGTTGAAAAAAAAAACAATTTTGAATTAATTAATTATAGTGTGACTCATGTGTTTGCTGTTTATAGGCTTACGATTAGGGAAACACATTTGTGTACCTTTTACTCAATTGCACATTATTCGTCTTATTAAATTAATGAATGATGTATAATTACAGGCCTTTATGAAATACCCAATTAATTAATAGTACTATAATGGTGATTTGGCTCACTGGGCCACCTGAGTCGTACTTTCAAATGTTATTAAATATTGAATTCGAATCATAGACGCAACTAGAATAAAATTTTGGGAGGGGGAAGCTAGATTTATCTTTCTTTGAAGGAAACTCACCAGCTTCTTAGTAGTACCAGTGGGCCCTATAGTGTATATTTTTTTAAGTCAAAATTATGTTTATAAGTATTCATTAGAAATTAATATATTTAAGATCCATTAACAAAATATCAATTATTTTATTAGAAATACAATTTTTATTGCAATTGTTTTTTACTACTTAACATTTTAAATATCTTAAAATTGCGTATTCACAAACTTTTTGTATATTTAAAATTTTATTATTTTATAAAATTACTATTGTAAGGTTTTTTTTTTTTTTTTTGAAACGTATCATAATATAAACACGTTTTATATTTTTAAATCAATGAGTATAAATATTCTTGTACGGTTAAAGTTAAGGGTAACATTGAAAACCAAAATTTGATACTCAGTAAAAATGTTTTTATGATTTATCTTTTACAATTTTAATAACATTCTAATCAGTTGTTTAATTTAAATACTATTCAAATAACGTTATATGTACATGTAAATAAAATTAATTGATCATATTAATGAAAATGAAATTGATAAATATCAACAATAATTATTTGTCAACAATCTATGATTGTCGGATTTCAATTTGAAACGAAAAAAGAGCGAAATCAAAACAAGAAATAATATCCAGGCATCAACCGTTTATATTAGCGTTTTATAACAATAAGTAAGTTATTTGTGCCACAGGCGATAATGGTTTTGATAATAATAATAATAATAATAATGTTACTTCAGATGTATTTCCTACTAAATAGCCGTCGCGGTCGGTGGTTCAAACAGATGCACATTGGATTTCTTCGTAGTCAGATGTCGGTCATTGCTCGTGATAACATTTAATCGTGCGTAACATAACGTTGAGCAAATAACTTGAAGACAAAGTTTTTGTCACTTGCCATTTGGATATTTTCGTTGATAATTTGTTTTTTTTTTTGTTAAACTCTGACAATATCATACACGAGGTAAGATCACTAACTAAATTAAAATTTATATGTGATTTAACAAGTCATTTCCATAGTTAATTGATTTTCAATATTAACAATTTCGAATCTTATTTACTAGCCTACTATTAAATATAAAAAAAAAAAATGGTACTTATTGAGTGTTGGTGGATTAATTTTTAAAACAGAGTACATAGAAGAATATGTACATAATCCCTCGTGTTTATTTATAAATATATTTTCAGTATTGTTAGAAATGTATAAATATTGGTTTTACTTAGAATCTTAAGCGTATTTATTATAAAATAACATCAATCACGATAGCTTTTCGCGATTTTTATTTAAAAAATGAGATGTTTGTTTAATTTATTTTAGTTTGAGTAGAAGTTATTTGAATTAATTTTATTTTACTCGCATTGTGGTGATAGTAAAACAATTGTATAGAAGATAATAACATTAATCGTCTCTTATCAAAAACGTTTACGGGTCAATAATTGAATACAAACTTATTATTAAATACATTTCTATACGTAGCAACTTATTACGTAATGTATGTCTATATGTGTATATTACTATTTAGAACACATTGAAATCGAGATTTAAGTTCAGTAAAAATAATCGTTAACTTACACAAACTTATTCTATTCTAAATTTCTAAAAATCTTATGGTTTATATTTTCTGTCAAAATAGGCATAAGATGCTACAAAATTTTAGGGGCAATTAATAAAAAAATTACGATTAAAATTAGTTTAAAATAATAAATCTTCATCCATATCACAAATAATAACATCTTTCTTACTAAATATTTACAATAATTTTGTATAGATTATAAGAATACATTAATGCTGAAGGGGCAAATATATATTAGGCAAAAAATGCTGTAGCATCCTAACCATTCTGCACCTGCAATTATAACATCAACTGAATATCTCAAAATAATGATTAAGGTTAATTGTTAGTGAATAATTAAATTCAATAGTTAAAGGAAAATGATAATTTTAACAAAAATTGCATTGAAAATATCAGTTACATTAACTAAATATTATAAAATAATACATTTAAATGACCTTAAATTTTCTGTTCATTTAAAACAAACAGAATTTAAATTACTTATATCAAATAAATGACTGTCAACATTTATTAATGATAACACAAATCCTTAGTAATATCTAATATAAAAAGTCTAGGGTGACCAGATATCTGAAGTGAATAATAGACTTTGCTTTTTAGTCATCTTCAAAGTCAGAATTGAGGAGACTGGGAGTTAAAAAAAAAAAAATAAATACATTTATATTATATAACAAATAATTTTACAGAAGTATATGTCTATTAATAATAAAATTAGGCCTCCCAAATTTATTTTCAATTCTACTTGTGATTAAAGGTAAATATCATTAAATTTATCAGTTAACTATGCTTAAAGATAGTAATAAGTCGGTTTTGTTAAACATCAATTTTTATTTTTTATGTAAAAAATTTTTTTTTTCTATTGCATTAGGAACATTCATTGATAAATTCAGTTAAAAAAAAGATATTTTAATAAAAAGATTTACGTAGGGACATCGTTCATCAAAAGTGATGAACAATATAATATACAAATCCTTGCAAATTAGTACGTTTAGTCACCTTAAATGCGTTTTTGGTTTGTTATCTTCTATGACATTTATTATTGATGAAAAAATAAACCTACCAATACCTTAAGAATAAAATGTTAGAATAAAAATATCTATGTTAAAGTTTTTTTCAGTAAAAAATAAAATTCTATTCATTATTTTGTAGTTTGTATTAAGTAGTACAGTATTAAAGTGTTATAAACTGTCATGACTAATGTAATAAAGAAATATGATTTTTAACTCGCTGCGTATTTTCCCTTATTCTTGTTAAATTTAAGATGTTACGTATACATTGATCGTTTTCAAACTATTGCGACACGCGAAGACACGATCAGGTTACGGTCAGTGATCAGACGGATGTAGAACATAATTTTTTTTTATCATTTACCTAATGTTTACATAAAAAAAGTACGATAAAACGTAGAGGAAATGTTCTGGTATTTATTTAATTTTGCATACACGTGAGTACATATTACAACGTAACTGAGAGAAGATTTTTTTTTTTTGCAAAAATTATTTCCGCAACCAGATATCACACTCCGATATTAAATCGATTCGTAAATAAGAGAAACACGTGTCCGTTATATTCTGGTCAGTTTTCCACGATACGCATAATAATACCTGTGTAAGTGAGACGTTTTTGTATTATTCACAAGTACTCTAATCGTTTTCAGCATAAAATTCGAAATACAATGATAATCACTTGTTTGGAAAAATAGTATTTTAATCTTCGGCCAGCCGCCAACAAAAATTGAAAAAATTGAAATTAAACAGTGACGGGCAATTGTTCATATACGTGTATTGCAAAAGTATGACAACGATAATGTATTGTACGTTTTAGTTCTACACAATACATTTACTATTAAAACGTAGTGTCGTATAGTAGATGGTAAAATATTCATTCGCTGAGTTTTTAATAAGTCTTACAAATAAAAATTATCTAAAATTTAAATTTATCGAAACTTAAATTCTAAGTATTATTAAATAATATATTTTATCCAATGATAAGCAAAATGAAATAATAGTGTCGATTTTTTTTTCAAAGGTAGATATTTAATGTAAATAAATAATTTTTATTAATGGTTTTAACAAGATGACAATGTTGTTAAGCTATTTCACATAAATATAATCAATGAAAAGATAAAATTAAGGTTGGGCATGTCATTTCAAGGGTAGTGAGAAATATATTTTTATTCTTGGGAAATGGAGTATCTCTAAGTTCAAAACATTCTTTTCGCCAATTATTTCCAAACTAGATGATAAGACTAAATAAATCCTCTCCCCTTATTTTAAGTCCATCCGAAGAAGCCCATGATTAAGTACCTCTTATTAGTTATTCTCTTAAAAAAATGGATTAAAAAAAACTTAGAATGTTTATTTAATTTCACGGTCACATTTAAGATCTATTATGTAATGAAAAACGTGGTCCTTGTCATTTCTTTTTGTTTACCGATATAAAATATTCCAACTGAAAAAAGATTCTTATATAATTTGATAGAAAAAAATATAAATATTGGTTAATTATTTGAAATTTAACCAAATTAAAACATTTATTTTATTGTTTATAATTCTGACTTCATATTTTATCTTCAATTGAGCAATCATAATATAAATTATAATTTTATGTATACAAAAAGATATATCATTTCATATTTACATTGAACTTAGTTTACATTAGTCTTAATTCATATATCTATATTTATACTTGATAGCTTTTTAAGAGTCATAACTATATTCTAACAAAATAAATTTGTGGTTGATGCGTTATTTTTACCAAATCCTTAAGTAAACAAAAACAAAATAAAAATCTCAAGAGTCTATTTTTAAAGGGCAAAAACTTTTTATAATAAAATAGACTTATAGTATTATGGTACTTAGCAGAAATATGTCTCCTTCTATACAAATTATAAAAAATCCATTGATCTTATAAACATGTTTATAAGATTTATAAAAAAATCTGAAAAACATTTTTTGTAACACATCAGTTTTTAAATATGAACCAAAGATTAGTATATCGAAATATTAATATTGTAGTGATATTTAAAAAAATGTATATCTTATGAAGTTATTAAAATTTAATTTGTGATTACAAAAAATATAAAATTATTAAGATTTAACAAATTTAAAATAACATAATTGAGTCGGTAAAGTTGAAAGAAAAAACAATATACAAAGTGATTATATAACCGTGAGCCACTTGAGAATTAAAGGTTAAAAAGAGAATTTTTTTTTATTCTTTAACTTTTCTAAATTTATCAATCAAGTAGTGGTTACACTCATTCTTTATATCTTATAAGCGTAGTAACTTTACTTAGAAGTATAATATATTATTAACTAGCTTATTTATTAATAAATAGTTTAATGAAGACTGGTTTATAACAGTTTTTGAACCAGTGTTTTTCGAAGATATTATTAATTTTATGTTGAGGCCGCACTCCTTCTTCCCCTTAAGTATAAAAGTGTTAGTATTTCTTTAATACTGATCCAAATTTGTTATCGACCAGTCATTTTGTCAATATTAATTTTATTTTTGGAATTGTTCACTCCGTATATTACATTATAATATTTTACTATAAAATGTTTTTTCAATTATAGCTTTTGAATTTTTTAAATGTTTTTCTCTTTTTATAAAAATTTATAATTTTACAAGATTTTTTTTTTTAAATATTTAAAATTTTTATTTCGTTGTTAGGATTTGTGGCGAGAGTATCGACGTTCTATTTATTGTATATCAAATAAAAAAAGATAATCATCCGTATTTTTCATTTTAAAATATAAAGTGATTGCTCAGAATGTTATAGACCTTACATTGTCCAAGTTATATGTATTTCATAGCAAAGAAACAGGTTTTTGTAAAGTCCAATATTTTCCTATTTAACTTCACATTGAATGAGTTAGGACAAACTAAGATTAATCCCGGTCAGTTTTTAAAGTGTAAACTCACTATAGTTTTAATTAGTGATTTATAGTAACTATCATTAAATTATCATAAAATATAATATTATTCAATCCATAAAACATCATGATGGAAACCATTTTGTATCAATATCTACTTTTTTTTTCAGTCGGGCCGACTATAGAACCGTATATACATTTATGATGTCTTTGGTATGCGTGTGATGGTATAGACTTTGAATATAACATCGCATGACCAACGGCTTCCTCTACTAAGTGGTTTTTTACCTGAAATGAATGAATAATAACTCTTGGGATGCGCACAATTTTAGTGCTACTGTGAACTCGCTTGTTGTCAGCGACCACCTGATGTTTGCAAACCGAACCGGTGGTAGAAGTATACAAGTCGGACATTGTTCCAACAATTGGACCAGTGGTAAGGTGACTGCAGCAGTCAGCAAGATGCAAGCATGGGCCACGGTGGCGGTGTTCCTGGTGACTATTGGATGGACTGTTCACGAAACTCAGGCCACCAGACAGCTCCAGGGTCGATACAACGTTCCTTATCCAGACATCTGTCCAAGGTAACTTGAATTATTCTTCTTTTTTTGTGATTACATTTTTTTTTTTATTAATTAATATTATTTTTATTAAAATATAGAATAACTGTAATAATTCTCTAAGCATTTATTATTTCAATGCATTAATTCAAGTTTCCATAAAAATGTAGTTTCTCCTGTATTTGGTATATTTAAAAAATAAAAGCAAACTTTTTTGTAATATTTTGTTGAATTATAATATCTTTATGTATTAACTCAAAATGATTATATAACGGGTATAAATAATAAGAAATAAGTCTATAATTATTAATATTATCTAAAACCCATTGGTGCTTTCAGGAGAAAATTAATGATTCTACAACTGTAATACATCCGAGAATTTATTTTGTTATGTAAATATAACATTAAGGATAAATTAATATAATACTTTCGGTCATTTAACTTGCCGAATAGAACAAAATAATAGTATATTAGTTTTTCAATTAGGTGACACCTTATATTGAATGGTGTATTTATAAAATTAACTATTTAAGAAAAATAATTAACGGAGAGCAACAGATTGAGCTAAAACCAAATCATTATTGTATTATATTATAGAAAGAAAGTAGATCACAATTTTTTTAATTTAATTTATACAGAAATTTTACTGAAGTTATTTAATAATCAATGATCAGAATCTATTCAAACTTTAACTATTTTTATATTATTTAACAAACTCGTTATGACAACCTTGTAAGTAATAAGGACGCTTATATAAAGAATTGCAAAAAATAAAATTAATGATTAATTACAAATTGATCATAAAAAAAAAATTCATGTAGAAAAATAAATCTTCATTAAATTGTCAAACTTTTAAAGCATAACAAACTTTATAAAAAACTGTATTCTCGTGTGTCATTAAAAATATATATATATATATATATGGTTATTCAACTTAACTCATATATTTAATGATTAAAGCTGTTTAAGTACATTTATCGCGCATTATGACAGTTACAATATTTTTGTCCGAAGGCTAAATAATAACATTTGACCCATTTAAAATAAAAGTCGTTGTCTACACTTATAAACATAAATAAATAGCACAATATCTAAAATATTTTGTTACGTCATCATATTTATAAATTTACCTTAAGTGTAATTTAAGGTATAGTAGCGTGCACGTTTTCATTGATGTAAATGTTGTTAATTTACGATAATCATAGGAGAGATATTAACTTTTTTTGAAAAAAAGAAGGTATATCTTCTTTATTCATAAGAAATTATAATTTCTCAAAAAATAATTAAATTTAAAGATTAAATTTTTTATGTAACGTACCTTATTTTATTTATGTGGAAAGTTTTATTATCGATTATGAATTGAAAAAATTAATTTGTTGAATAAAAACATTTTATTTTAGTGAAATTTACTGCAAAGGAGAATTATTAGATGATATCCAAATGCAACAGATGTATCCAGATTCTAAGACATTTGTCGATAAAAAACTTTTGAGAAGTGAAGCTGTAATTTTAGAAACCTATCGTAATTTAAAACGGCGAAATAATGGTCAAGTTCCTCCTAGATCAGTCCTTGCAAAGTTTGTGGAAGACAATTTTATCGATGATCCTTTGGTTGAATGGCAACCGCCAGATTTTACCGACAACCCAACCATAATTGAATACGTCCAAGACCACAGCTATAAGTAAATGAATTATTCACTATAAATACTATTTAGTATACCATTTTATTCTACTAGTATACAAGATTTAAATTTAGATGTTTAATTTCGCTCTTTATGAAGGCTGTGGGTACTGCAATTAAATCAAATTTGGTTGAGATTGGCTAGAAGAGTAGACGAAGATGTGAGAAAAAACCCAGACAGACATTCTTCTATTTACTTACCTAACGGATTTTTCATAGCTGGTGGTAGATTCACAGAACTATATTATTGGGATTCCTATTGGATCATAAGAGGTGAAAAATACTTTCATAATTATATTAGAAAATAATTAAATACAAAATTGGGCCTAAATTGTAAGTGTCGTGTTATTAATTTAGAACATGTTAAATAAGAAATTGACAATTTTAAATATATTAAACAACAAAATATGATTTCATTTTAAATATTTTCTTAATAGTAAAATTCTAAAATTCTTCTTTATCTGGCCCTTAATACTCTTTAAGAGTTTTCCCCGCCATGGTCTCATAACAAGTGCTTTTTTTACAAGACAGGGTTGTTTGCTCTGCGCCCAACCCCCAACTTGGAGGAACAGATCACAACAACCTTCCTGGTCAAAGTGATGGCTATTGCAATGCATCATTGATGCACTGGGCGATGGATACGCCACTTTCCCAATGCCGTTAAAATTCTAAAATGAATTTTCAAAATAATAATTAAATTATCAAAATTGCAAATTTTTTTTTGAATATTAATGCTTGGCCAATAATTATTAGCAAATATATATTCTGTTATTTATTTTAATTAATTTTGAATCAATTTTTGCTTAATATATTTCTATAAGAACAATAAGAACATGATTATAGTTTATGACATTTATAAAATGGGTCGACTTTTTTTTATATTTTAATTATTTGTACGATGATATTACATTATGATAAAAATAAACTGTAATATAATATTTAATAATATAAAATATTATATATTATTTATATGATATATTTGTTTAGGTATTATTTTATGTGATATGAAAGATACCGCAAAAGGAATTATTCAGAATTTTTTGTATCTGGTAAACAAATATGGTTATGTACCAAACGGCACTAGAATATATTATTTAATGAGATCTCAACCACCTCTTTTAATTCAAATGGCAGCATCTTATTATACATTTACAGATGATTTAGATTTTATTCATGATAATATTCAGGTAAATATTTAAAACAAATAATATCTAATTTTTCGTTAAACTAAATTAATTAGTATAAATGTTTAAAAATAATTTGACTTATTAATTTAAAATCATAGATTATTAAATTGTATTAAACTATTTCAATAGAGTTAATTAATATTTGAAACTATTCACTTTTATATATGTGTTCAATTCTGTAAAATTACTTTACTTTTTTCTAACAAAGATTTACTATACATCAAATAAGTTTGCATTTAAGTATATATTAGAGCATATATTACATTATTATACTAAAATTTGTCAGATTTTTTTCTTTTACTCGAGTTTTAATATAATACCATTTTTAAAGTATTTAGAAAAAGAGTTCAATTTTTGGATGACTAATCGAACAGTTAAAGTCGAACAAAATGGAAATGTATATATAATGGGACAGTATAATACACATACAAAAGAACCTCGTCCAGAATCTTATTAGTGAGCAAAATTATTAATAATTTTATTTCATACAAATTATTATAAATATATTATTTAAATAAATTTCGTTATTATAGTCAGGATAAGACATTAGCAATGTCATTTCCAAGTGAGGAAGACAAAAATGAACTATATTCTAGACTAAAGGCTGGCGCTGAATCTGGTTGGGACTTTTCTACAAAACATTACAATAACTTTGGAAAAAATACTGGTACTAAAATTTATTTTATAAAACTAATTTTATCTTGAATGTACGAATATTTTAGTTTAAATATTGACTCGTTTAAAAAGATAAAATTTCCGAGCAATATTTTCTAATATTGTGTCGCAAGACAAAAATAAGTGTTGACAACTATGTGTTGTTGTATGTGCTAATGTTGGTGGTCACGGTATACTCGCATGACACTCTGGTAATGTCGAGGGTTTCGATGATTCATTGTTTTAAGGATAGGAGAAAAACACTAAGGAATAAGGAAAAGAAGAAGTGCAAGATACAAATACTCAGGATTTAGGAGGGATAATAAAGTACAAGGTACTGACGAGTTGAAAGGCATAAGCACTTGAGTTAAGTAGGAAAGGATACAATGTAGTCAAAGGCGTCAAAAATAGGTTGGGTTGAGTTAGGTCAACAAACATACTCTTGATATAAGGTTTGGTTGACGGAAAACGTCAACCAAGTACTGAGGCTAATATTTGATTATAAATCTTAAGACGCGTCGTACTAAAGTCGGCTGACTAATTGATGGTTCAATTGGTTTAAGTTTTTTTTGTTGATTCTGTACTAATATATTGTATTTAATTGTCGTGTCATGTTAAAAATTATATAATATAAAAACTACCTAAAATATGTATGATTAAATAAGGTTTTTTATATTTAAAATATATTGCACATTGTAGTACATTATCTCCAAGTATTTTCAAATCATATTCTAAAAAAAATGTTATTTTAGGTAATTTATCAAATACAGATCCACAAAACTTCATATACGTAGAACTAAATGCAATATTACAAGCCAACGCAGTAGTACTTGCTCAAATGTTTAAACTTCTAGGAAACCAAGAAAAATACAAACATTATACTGAAATTGGAAATCGATTTCAAATAGGAATAAATGCTGTAAGTTATATTACTGCATTAATATTTTAAATTCAAATTTGGTTAATTTAACTATGTGTAATGTTCAGATATTGTGGAACGAAGAAGAAGGAATTTGGCTAGATTATGATCTAACCACAAAGTCACATCGAAAATATTTTTATACTTCAAATTTTGCACCCTTGTGGACTGGAAGTTATGACAGAAAACTGCAATCGTATTACGGAAAACGAGCATTGGACTATTTACTTCTTAACGGAGTTATCAATCAAGATGGCACTCCAAGGCTTATTTGTATGTAAACTAAATAACATTTTTAACCACTAAAATAAACTATAAAAAAAGACTGTGTTAGAAAAATGGCCTTTAAAAAATATTCGCGCGATTTAAAGTATTTTAAGCTGAACTGTTAAGTTTCCTTTTTAAATGAATATTTTTTTGCAGTTAAGTTATTGGATACTAAGTTTATAAGAAAGACTTTTATTATAAATCTTTAAAACAGATTATTAATTTTTTTACTATAAAATTCAAATATTTTCATTAGTAAGAAAATGAAATTAATGAATATGTTGACTTAAAAGTTATGTATAAAATATTTTTTAACAAGCATTTCTGTTTTAATTGCCTCTATACAAATGATCAATTTGGGAAAACGCCCTTATTTTTTCAGAAACTATTGAAAATTTATAATTTTTGTTATTGGAAAAAATATTTGGTTCAAAAAAACTATAGGTATATGTAGTTAAATAATTTTTTAGCTTTTACCCAGTTGGGTGCAGCTCGTATTCGCGTATGTGCATATTTTCCGCGCTACATATCCAATTTTTGTATTAAAATAAAGTAATGTAAGAACGGTCTGTCAGATAAAAAAAATTGTAGGAACAAAAGTGTGTAATTTTTTTTCTATCGTAATTTTTGTTTCTATAGTTTTATCTGGGAAATTGAATATATTCATCTTAAGTGTTATTGTCAATAAAAAAAAAATTAAGTGTTATTATTCAATTGTTATAATTTATTATAGGAGGGATATCTGAAGGACTATGATCCTCAGACCAATTAGTCTTAATTTAGACTTTGCTGTGTTATCTGTTTTTAATAGATCTGTATTGTTTAGGCATTCCAACATCAAGTGTAAATTCAACACAACAATGGGACTACCCTAATTGCTGGCCGCCTCTTCAAGCTATGGTTATTCAAGGATTAGATCGTACTCAGTACAAACCAGCACAAACTGTTGCTCTTAATCTTGCTAAGTCGTGGATTAATACAAATTTTGTAGGATATGCTAACACGGGAACTATGTTTGAAAAGGTAATAAAAACTATAAATTTGATTCGAAATTTAAAGGTTAGACATGTTTTTATGAACTCAGCGATTTTCGTTTGTTAAAAAAAGTGTATCAAAGGATTTGTATCAATTTTTGCGTAAAAATTAAATTAAATTTAACAAACTGTGTGTAACAAGGGTTTAGCAATATAAACGTTTCTCGGATGGCCATGATGACGTTGAAGATAACGAACGCCCCAGAAAATCAACAACCAATGAAAACGTGGAAAAAGTGAAATATATTATAATGAAGACAATCAGAGAAATTGCTGATGATGTTGGAATATCGATTGGCTTATACCATGAAATTTTCTCGAATGTTTTGGGTATGAAACGCGAAGCAGCAAAATTTATTCCAAATTTGATGAATTTTGAATAAAAACAGTGTAGAATGAAAGGTGCTCAGGGATCAGTAATACAGTCAACGACGATTCAGAATTCTGAAACGTGTTATAACAGGTGACGTAACATGAGTTTATGGATGCGACGTCGAAATTAAGGATCAATCGTCTCAGTGTAGGCCTTCTGGATCGCTAAGACCCAACCCAACCCAACCCAACCGAAAGCTTGACAAGTGCGATTGAACGTGAAGGTTATGCTCACTATGTTCTTTGATTTTTATGACATGGTGCATCTTGAATTCTTTCTACGAGGTCAAACGGCCAATAAAGAATACTAACTACAAGTTCAAGGCCGTTTGCGTTTGCATTTTGGAATAAATCCGAAAAAAACGCCCCGATTTGTGTCAAAACAATTCATGGCTTTTGCACCACGATAATGCACCTGCTCATACTTCATTGTTTTTTCGTGAATTTTTAGCCAAAAATAATACTGTAACAATACCCCGTTATCAAGCATAGATGATGTCATCTATGCTTGTAAAATGCTATGCTTTCAATGTTGAAAGCGCAACACTGAATGAGCTGATATCGAGTTTGAGCATTTTTCGAAGAATGGAAAAACCCCACCTGTACATTTAATAATTTTATCTAAAATAAACGTCAAAATCCATAAAAAAAAAAACAAAAATTAGTAATTAGGCATCCTTTTAATTTTATCACAATCAAGAAAAAATATTATTTCTATTAACTCTAATTTAATGCAAATAGCTATTTGCAATAAAAGTAGAATAACTATTATATGTTTCTTGTATATAATAGTTCCCTTAAAAATATATAATTTTAATTATGAAAATATTAAAGACTTACAATGGATTATACTAAAATTTAATCTAATGCCATTTTTAAATCTGTTTTTAGTATAGTGCACTTGAAGTAGGAACCACTGGTAGCGGAGGTGAATACACACCTCAAACAGGCTTCGGATGGACAAACGGAATTGTATTTGAATTATTTAGAAGATGGGGACATGTTTTTAAATCGAACTGAATTTTTCCAACTCGTAAATTTTGTTTTTAAGATGATGACGACTAGTACTACGATTGTCAACTATCCCTGTCCTGCATCAAATGAATCTAATGTACTAGACCCGTTTGAACATATTTATTAGTTTGTTTAAATATGCTCAAATTTAACATTGTAAAAAGTATAAATATTTTATATGTAGATATAGTATAGCTGTTATTAAAATATGGTTGTTAAATAAAACTTGTCAGCCAATGCACAGGCATACACACCATAAATGACATTTTATTTTCTATTATCTAAATCGAGCATTGCAATGAAATTTTAAATGGTATTTAAAATGTACATAACACAAAGCCAAAGTATAACTGTTTTTTAGTACCATCAATTCACGCAACTGGACATACTCCGAAATGTTTTTTAAAGATATAATAACACTTAATAATTTTTTCAAGGTTTTGTCAATACTGAACAAATTACAACAAAAAATCAAAAAAAAATTTTTAAAATGGCTCAACAATATTTAATGTCTTGTTAAACCAATCCTTAAAAATATATAATATTTATATATAAATATTGATGTACAATTCTTAACGTCTGCATTATGAAATAAATGTCTATAAAATTAAGAATGTGATGTACTCTACTTTTTATTGCTTCAAATTTAAATTAAAAATAGCTGAAGATCAATATTTAAAAATTCCATTTAGAAAAATTCAAATTTTGTGTTTGAAATAACTATATTTATCAAATTAACAAAGACAACATAGTTATCCAATAAATTTGAACTTTTAATAAAAATATAATATGATATATTTTTAATTTCAATTCAGTAAAAATTTTAGTAAGAAAATTATCATTATCAATGTCACGTTCTCGATTTTTAACTTTGACGGTGTCAATGTCGCACTAAACCAACTGTAACATACTTCACGATACCTTTACACAAGTCAACACCGTCTCGGTCTCGTTTTAAGCAAAGCTATTAATCCTCAACACATAATTATCGGTTGTAAAACTATCATTGTTCAATACTCTAAAATACATGAATATTTTCAAATTATTTGTAAAATACTTATGCTCAATAAATTTAAATAGATTATTGCCATCAGTTTCGGTAATAACCTATGGATTGTTATTGCAGAACATAAAACACTTGTATAAATAATCGGTGGTACTCAGAGAAATCAGTTTGTAGTTCGAAGTTTTGAAACCAAACAGAAACTGTCCAACACGCGTGTCATCTTATTAGCTTAGACGTTTTTTAAAAACTGTTTTTAACATACGAAAATATGATGAACTGTAAAAATAGTATCAGTGTTTGGACAGTTGTAGTATTCTGCTTAGTAAAGTGCGCACAATCCAAACCGCATATTCAAAACTATTTGACAAAAAATGTTTTAAATGGAAAATATAACGGACCTTATGAAGAAATCTGCACCAGGTATTTATTCAAAAAAAATGTTTAAATATCTCTTAAATTGTCCTTTAATTTAAATAAAATACTAACTATTATTTTTGTCTCCAAAAAGTTTCAACTAAATATTGAATATGGGTAATTTTTTATGAAATTGTAAAATTAAACTCTAAGCCACGCTAAAATATATTTAAATTCAAAACATCATTTCGTATATAAATGTGATAATAATAAAAAAAAATGTAAATTTTCCATAATCATAAACAAAATTAAACCTTTAAACTATTCTTTAAATTTAATACATAAAACCCAAATTTTAAATATGGTGTGGCGAGTGAATCATTCAATCGCTGTCTTAACGTTGATGTTCAACTACACCGTTTGCTGTTGGTTTCCGGATGGGTACTATACAGGAGCATTTACAACGACACACACCTGGCCATCATACTAGTTATCTTAGCCATAATGAGGTTCCATCAAGTCGTTATAGTAGAGCCAAACTCAAATAGTTGTTATAGATGGCTCTAATTATGATGATTATTAGATACACAAAAACGAAATTAATATAAAATGTACTAGTGATACAATATATCTGATACATTTTATTATTTATTTATGATGAAATGTATCGGTTATTCAATTCAATCTTTTTTTAAATATTTATAATTCTGTTATTTTAGAAAATATAATATATGTTATATATTATATTATATTAAAGTATATATTAAATATAATATAATATATGTAAAATTTTAACATTATTTTCACTGATATAATATTAGTAATCTGCCAAATTTCAGACAGAAAATATTAAAATAATGATTTTATTCTTTATAACCCATCATCAATTAAACATTAATAAAATCCTTTAAAATTATTGGGCTCAAAAACTTTTAATTCAAAAAATCCTAAAAATCTGAAAAACAACTAATGTCAAATTATTTAAAAATAAAATTTCAGGTGTACATTATTTTAATACTTTTTTTATTAACTACTACATATATATTATTATTTATTATTCAAAACCTAGTTAAATTATTTAAATTGTTATACTGATTTTATTTTTATTTTTCAAGTGCACAGTTTAGTAATAATAATACATGTTTAACGTTAAAAAATCAGCAGACACTATTAACTTACTTAATACATAGTTAAATTTAAAAAAGCATCTACTCAAAATTCTTAAAAGAATTGTTACAAAATAGTAAAAGCGTATAAATAAAGTTAGCGATTGTTTAAAAGTCAATTAAATTATCCAATAATCATATATCATAATTATGTTTATTCGCATTCTTTACTCAATTCGAAAAATCCATAAATTAATAAAATCATTGGACCAATTTGNACTTAATACATAGTTAAATTTAAAAAAGCATCTACTCAAAATTCTTAAAAGAATTGTTACAAAATAGTAAAAGCGTATAAATAAAGTTAGCGATTGTTTAAAAGTCAATTAAATTATCCAATAATCATATATCATAATTATGTTTATTCGCATTCTTTACTCAATTCGAAAAATCCTTAAAATAATATTTTGTAAAAAAAAAAAAACAAATTATTGAAAGTCAAAAACATTTTACAAAAATTTAATTTTATGATATATTTTTAACGATTTTTTTAAAATTATAACAAAAAAATGTATATAAGTTAATTATTTTAATAAAGATATAAAATAAAAATTTTGTCTAATACTTTTAATTTGTTATATTAGTATTGTTAGTCATTATGAATATTAATACAAATTATTTTTAATCTCAAACGGGTAAATATCATCAATTAATAAACAAAAATAAAGTTGGGTTTAATATTTCAAGCATAGTGAGAAATATTTTTTTAACTTCAACACGAAGCGGAGAAGGCATTAATTTTACTATGATGTGTTTTTTTTTTCATTTGTTTTGACAATATTGCGTTCATTAAATATATGTTAAATTAGAGCTTATATTATGTACTATAAGTTAAAAAAATATTTATCCCTATGACCTATTATCTATGCATGCTATTTTTGTGTCTAAATATTTTTTTGTTTATTTTAAAATACCTTACAAGGTTTACCTCATAGTAATGAGGCTAACGATTTTTATAAAAATTCCATGTATTTAACTTACATTGAATATAAATTTAAACTTATTTTAAATATTTTGTCTCTCCCAGTTAAGAAAACGACTTCGAATTTTTCAACAAGTTTAAATTGTCTTTTTTAGCTACCAATATAATTAAGAATATATTTTTCCTATTATCTATCATTAAGAAAAAAAACTTGTTTTGACACCTTATCTTTCATAAGCAAATTGCTGCCTAGTAAAAAACACTCTATTTTTGTTTAATTTAATGAATTGTCATAACTTAAAAAAAAACTTTTGGATCAATACTTTATACATGTCTCTTTTATCCAACATATTTATTTAAAATTAAAATATTGTACAAAGGAGAAGTTGATGTGATGTGATATTTATTTCATTAACATTATAAAATGTAATATCCATTAAATATATAGTTAATTTTGAATATTTCGCCAATGCCTTCCTCCTAAGTCGAGAAAGATAGGAAGGGTTTGAAAGAGACCACTTACGCATGTAAATTTTTAATTAGACTCGATTTTTGAAAATGTTTTGGGTGGTCTGACAACTTTTAATATATATCAAATTAAAGCTTTTTAAGAGTACTGTATAATGAAAAAAAGAAAAACTACCTAATGATATGTTTTCTCTGAGTAAAAGCTAAAAATGGCAAAATGTCTGTAAAAACTCATTACTTTTTTATTTTGCTATAACTCAATAAAAAATACATCGATCCTAATAAAATTATAATAGAATATACTAGCGACAATAAGCTAACTTTCGGTATGCGGTTTATAACTTTATTTTGAATTAAGCAAATAATTTAACTTGTATTTAATATTCAAGTGAAATTTTAAATCATTGAAATTGTAAAATTAAAATTATGAAACAAATTATGATATTTTACAGTTTGCATCGAAGCGTTTTTTATGATAATGATGTTAATCGCAGTCAGATATCATCTATCTCTACGTCCTAACATTACCGCGACCCCACTTCTTTAGGTTTTTATTCTTTAGAAATGAAGTANGTTGAAAGCGCAACACTGAATGAGCTGATATCGAGTTTGAGCATTTTTCGAAGAATGGAAAAACCCCACCTGTACATTTAATAATTTTATCTAAAATAAACGTCAAAATCCATAAAAAAAAAAACAAAAATTAGTAATTAGGCATCCTTTTAATTTTATCACAATCAAGAAAAAATATTATTTCTATTAACTCTAATTTAATGCAAATAGCTATTTGCAATAAAAGTAGAATAACTATTATATGTTTCTTGTATATAATAGTTCCCTTAAAAATTTTAATTATGAAAATATTAAAGACTTACAATGGATTATACTAAAATTTAATCTAATGCCATTTTTAAATCTGTTTTTAGTATAGTGCACTTGAAGTAGGAACCACTGGTAGCGGAGGTGAATACACACCTCAAACAGGCTTCGGATGGACAAACGGAATTGTATTTGAATTATTTAGAAGATGGGGACATGTTTTTAAATCGAACTGAATTTTTCCAACTCGTAAATTTTGTTTTTAAGATGATGACGACTAGTACTACGATTGTCAACTATCCCTGTCCTGCATCAAATGAATCTAATGTACTAGACCCGTTTGAACATATTTATTAGTTTGTTTAAATATGCTCAAATTTAACATTGTAAAAAGTATAAATATTTTATATGTAGATATAGTATAGCTGTTATTAAAATATGGTTGTTAAATAAAACTTGTCAGCCAATGCACAGGCATACACACCATAAATGACATTTTATTTTCTATTATCTAAATCGAGCATTGCAATGAAATTTTAAATGGTATTTAAAATGTACATAACACAAAGCCAAAGTATAACTGTTTTTTAGTACCATCAATTCACGCAACTGGACATACTCCGAAATGTTTTTTAAAGATATAATAACACTTAATAATTTTTTCAAGGTTTTGTCAATACTGAACAAATTACAACAAAAAATCAAAAAAAAATTTTTAAAATGGCTCAACAATATTTAATGTCTTGTTAAACCAATCCTTAAAAATATATAATATTTATATATAAATATTGATGTACAATTCTTAACGTCTGCATTATGAAATAAATGTCTATAAAATTAAGAATGTGATGTACTCTACTTTTTATTGCTTCAAATTTAAATTAAAAATAGCTGAAGATCAATATTTAAAAATTCCATTTAGAAAAATTCAAATTTTGTGTTTGAAATAACTATATTTATCAAATTAACAAAGACAACATAGTTATCCAATAAATTTGAACTTTTAATAAAAATATAATATGATATATTTTTAATTTCAATTCAGTAAAAATTTTAGTAAGAAAATTATCATTATCAATGTCACGTTCTCGATTTTTAACTTTGACGGTGTCAATGTCGCACTAAACCAACTGTAACATACTTCACGATACCTTTACACAAGTCAACACCGTCTCGGTCTCGTTTTAAGCAAAGCTATTAATCCTCAACACATAATTATCGGTTGTAAAACTATCATTGTTCAATACTCTAAAATACATGAATATTTTCAAATTATTTGTAAAATACTTATGCTCAATAAATTTAAATAGATTATTGCCATCAGTTTCGGTAATAACCTATGGATTGTTATTGCAGAACATAAAACACTTGTATAAATAATCGGTGGTACTCAGAGAAATCAGTTTGTAGTTCGAAGTTTTGAAACCAAACAGAAACTGTCCAACACGCGTGTCATCTTATTAGCTTAGACGTTTTTTAAAAACTGTTTTTAACATACGAAAATATGATGAACTGTAAAAATAGTATCAGTGTTTGGACAGTTGTAGTATTCTGCTTAGTAAAGTGCGCACAATCCAAACCGCATATTCAAAACTATTTGACAAAAAATGTTTTAAATGGAAAATATAACGGACCTTATGAAGAAATCTGCACCAGGTATTTATTCAAAAAAAATGTTTAAATATCTCTTAAATTGTCCTTTAATTTAAATAAAATACTAACTATTATTTTTGTCTCCAAAAAGTTTCAACTAAATATTGAATATGGGTAATTTTTTATGAAATTGTAAAATTAAACTCTAAGCCACGCTAAAATATATTTAAATTCAAAACATCATTTCGTATATAAATGTGATAATAATAAAAAAAAATGTAAATTTTCCATAATCATAAACAAAATTAAACCTTTAAACTATTCTTTAAATTTAATACATAAAACCCAAATTTTAAATATGGTGTGGCGAGTGAATCATTCAATCGCTGTCTTAACGTTGATGTTCAACTACACCGTTTGCTGTTGGTTTCCGGATGGGTACTATACAGGAGCATTTACAACGACACACACCTGGCCATCATACTAGTTATCTTAGCCATAATGAGGTTCCATCAAGTCGTTATAGTAGAGCCAAACTCAAATAGTTGTTATAGATGGCTCTAATTATGATGATTATTAGATACACAAAAACGAAATTAATATAAAATGTACTAGTGATACAATATATCTGATACATTTTATTATTTATTTATGATGAAATGTATCGGTTATTCAATTCAATCTTTTTTTAAATATTTATAATTCTGTTATTTTAGAAAATATAATATATGTTATAAATTATATTATATTAAAGTATATATTAAATATAATATAATATATGTAAAATTTTAACATTATTTTCACTGATATAATATTAGTAATCTGCCAAATTTCAGACAGAAAATATTAAAATAATGATTTTATTCTTTATAACCCATCATCAATTAAACATTAATAAAATCCTTTAAAATTATTGGGCTCAAAAACTTTTAATTCAAAAAATCCTAAAAATCTGAAAAACAACTAATGTCAAATTATTTAAAAATAAAATTTCAGGTGTACATTATTTTAATACTTTTTTTATTAACTACTACATATATATTATTATTTATTATTCAAAACCTAGTTAAATTATTTAAATTGTTATACTGATTTTATTTTTATTTTTCAAGTGCACAGTTTAGTAATAATAATACATGTTTAACGTTAAAAAATCAGCAGACACTATTAACTTACTTAATACATAGTTAAATTTAAAAAAGCATCTACTCAAAATTCTTAAAAGAATTGTTACAAAATAGTAAAAGCGTATAAATAAAGTTAGCGATTGTTTAAAAGTCAATTAAATTATCCAATAATCATATATCATAATTATGTTTATTCGCATTCTTTACTCAATTCGAAAAATCCATAAATTAATAAAATCATTGGACCAATTTGAAATTATTTTTTAAGATTGGTTATTTAAATTTCATGGAAGTCGTTCATTCACTAATTAATATTATGAATTCTTAAAGAAACAATATTAAAGAAATTTGACATTTAAATTATTATGATAAATAAGAGATCTTATTAAAAAATAAAAAATAGTATCAAATTTCAAAAACAAAAAATGTCTGTGACTATTTTTATTTCTGTAATACTAAAAAATCATAACTCGGAATGAAAAATGCCTGATTGTCTTCTAATTAAAAATTTTATTTTGTCTTTAAGTTCCACTAATTTAATGTAACTTTTTAACTCTTCAATTAAATTAAAAAAAAAAAATAAAACAAAACATTAGCTGAATTAAATAATTATCATATAAACGTTAACATAGCAAACTATGATTAATGCCTTATTTTGTAAAAAAAAAAAACAAATTATTGAAAGTCAAAAACATTTTACAAAAATTTAATTTTATGATATATTTTTAACGATTTTTTTAAAATTATAACAAAAAAATGTATATAAGTTAATTATTTTAATAAAGATATAAAATAAAAATTTTGTCTAATACTTTTAATTTGTTATATTAGTATTGTTAGTCATTATGAATATTAATACAAATTATTTTTAATCTCAAACGGGTAAATATCATCAATTAATAAACAAAAATAAAGTTGGGTTTAATATTTCAAGCATAGTGAGAAATATTTTTTTAACTTCAACACGAAGCGGAGAAGGCATTAATTTTACTATGATGTGTTTTTTTTTTCATTTGTTTTGACAATATTGCGTTCATTAAATATATGTTAAATTAGAGCTTATATTATGTACTATAAGTTAAAAAAATATTTATCCCTATGACCTATTATCTATGCATGCTATTTTTGTGTCTAAATATTTTTTTGTTTATTTTAAAATACCTTACAAGGTTTACCTCATAGTAATGAGGCTAACGATTTTTATAAAAATTCCATGTATTTAACTTACATTGAATATAAATTTAAACTTATTTTAAATATTTTGTCTCTCCCAGTTAAGAAAACGACTTCGAATTTTTCAACAAGTTTAAATTGTCTTTTTTAGCTACCAATATAATTAAGAATATATTTTTCCTATTATCTATCATTAAGAAAAAAAACTTGTTCTGACACCTTATCTTTCATAAGCAAATTGCTGCCTAGTAAAAAACACTCTATTTTTGTTTAATTTAATGAATTGTCATAACTTAAAAAAAAACTTTTGGATCAATACTTTATACATGTCTCTTTTATCCAACATATTTATTTAAAATTAAAATATTGTACAAAGGAGAAGTTGATGTGATGTGATATTTATTTCATTAACATTATAAAATGTAATATCCATTAAATATATAGTTAATTTTGAATATTTCGCCAATGCCTTCCTCCTAAGTCGAGAAAGATAGGAAGGGTTTGAAAGAGACCACTTACGCATGTAAATTTTTAATTAGACTCGATTTTTGAAAATGTTTTGGGTGGTCTGACAACTTTTAATATATATCAAATTAAAGCTTTTTAAGAGTACTGTATAATGAAAAAAAGAAAAACTACCTAATGATATGTTTTCTCTGAGTAAAAGCTAAAAATGGCAAAATGTCTGTAAAAACTCATTACTTTTTTATTTTGCTATAACTCAATAAAAAATACATCGATCCTAATAAAATTATAATAGAATATACTAGCGACAATAAGCTAACTTTCGGTATGCGGTTTATAACTTTATTTTGAATTAAGCAAATAATTTAACTTGTATTTAATATTCAAGTGAAATTTTAAATCATTGAAATTGTAAAATTAAAATTATGAAACAAATTATGATATTTTACAGTTTGCATCGAAGCGTTTTTTATGATAATGATGTTAATCGCAGTCAGATATCATCTATCTCTACGTCCTAACATTACCGCGACCCCACTTCTTTAGGTTTTTATTCTTTAGAAATGAAGTACATCTAAGTTCAAAACATTATGTACGCCAATTATATCCAAAATAATTGATAAAAATCTTTAAAATTCACCTAAAGACGCCTCTACGTTCTGATTGCCCAGTATTAATTTTACTGTTTCCAACAAAATTCATATTTTTTGTTTAGTAAATATTCACNTACATCTAAGTTCAAAACATTATGTACGCCAATTATATCCAAAATAATTGATAAAAATCTTTAAAATTCACCTAAAGACGCCTATACGTTCTGATTGCCCAGTATTAATTTTACTGTTTCCAACAAAATTCATATTTTTTGTTTAGTAAATATTCACGTGTGTTTGAAAAACATACAAATAAATTACCTTATTATTCCACAGCCAAGTGTATTGTCATGGTGAACTGTTAGACGACATTCAATATTCAAGAATATTTGAAGATTCTAAGATCTTCGTAGATTTAAAAATGAAACGTAGTGAAAATGAAATTGTTGAAGATTACAAAAAATTAAAAAAAAAAATAGGTGGTATTCCAGATAATGAAACACTAAGAAATTTTATCGAAGAAAACTTTGAAGATGAAAATCTCGAACAGTGGACACCAGATGATTTCACAGATAATCCATTAATAGTAAATTATGTGGCCGATCCAAACTACAAGTAAAGTTAAAAAATTATGTTTATATATTCATATATATATTATATAATCACATATTTATGCTAACAATGAATTCAAATTAGATACGTTGAATTTTTCTCACCAGATTTTATTATTCAACAGTTTTATTTATTTTTTTCAAATTATGGTCTCAGAATTTATGCTAGTTCAATATATTTTTTTATTAATAATAGATTTTTAACAATTTTTCAAAATAAATTGTGTTGTTATTTATTGACACCTTTTTTAAATTGATAGTATCTTTTACAGTTGTGTAAAAATTACAATTTTGGCAAAAATATAAAATGAATAGTATGCCCTTTTACTTAAAATAAATAAATTTCAAAAACCAAAACACCATCTTTTACTGATAGAACATTTGAAAATGTGCCAATAACAATACACTTTACCTTAGTATCAAATAACAACTTTATTATTGATTTTAGCAGCGAAAAAATATACACTTTGCTTATTTTTGGAGTAAATTAAATTTTTTTTATCTAATTAGAGATTTTATATTAAATGTAAATCAAATTTGGAAAATTTTGGGTCGAAAAATGCCAAATGATTCAAAAGTTTATCCTGATCGCCATTCTTCTATTTATGTACCAAATGGATTCTTCGTTGCTGGGGGTAGATTCAATGAGCTGTACTACTGGGATACGTACTGGATTATAAAAGGTAACAAACATTTTTTTTTTCTAGTAATCAATGCATTTATGATAAAAAATATGTGTTATTATTATTATAAGGAGCTTTATTATGTGGAATGAAATCTACTGTCAAAGGTATTATTGAAAACATGTTGCATTTAGTAAAAATTTATGGATACATGCCAAATGGAAGTAGAGTTTATTACTTGAAAAGATCTCAACCTCCTCTTCTCATTCAAATGGTATCGATTTATGCCAAATATGCTAAGGATTATAAATTTATTCGCGATAATATAGATGTAGGTTAAGAACAATATTTTTCTCTAATCAAAAATTTTATCTGAAACATTAAATATTATTTTACAGATTTTAGAAAGAGAATTTCAATTTTGGCTTAATAAAAGAACAGTTGAAGTACAGAAAGATGGCAATGTATACATAATGGCTCAATATAACACCCGTACTTTTGGTCCCCGACCCGAGTCTTATTAGTATATATTTTTTGATGTCTAATAAAATAATAAATAGTACACTAATAACATATTTTTTTTATTTAGTGAAGATAAATTGTTAGCTAATTTATTATCTGAAGAGAATGATAAGAACGAGTTGTACACTAGAATCAAATCTGCTGCTGAATCGGGTTGGGACTTTTCGAGTAAACATTTTAACAACTACGGAAAATTTTCAGGTATAAAAAAATATACCTAAATTAAATTGGTCTACGTTATTATATTCGATAATATTTTTAGAGTCACTTTTTAACACTAATCCTCAAAACTTTATTTACGTCGAGTTAAACGCTATACTACAATCAAATGCTGACATTTTATCAAATATGTTTACCCTGGAAGGTAACTATAAGAAAGCAAATCTATACGAGGGAATTGCCAAGAGATTCCAAATCGGAATAGATGCTGTAAGTTAAATTATTTGTGTTTTCTTCGAATTAAAACTCGAGTGATTAAAATTATACTGAAATTATTTCTAGTTATTATGGAATGACAAAAGAGGTATATGGATGGATTATGACTTGAGTACTGAAAAAACTCGTGACGCTTTTTTCGCGAGTAATTTGGCGCCTTTATGGATGGGTAGTTACGATAAAAAGAAACGCGATGATTATGGTGAACTAGCAGTAAATTACTTGATCGAAGAGAAAATTATCAACTCAGATTTGTCACCTGTTTTCTTAGGTAATACACAAAAATTATGTATTATACTCCACCAACATATATTATATTCTATCCTTATGGTTGTTAACTTTTTATAATAAAGAGGAAATGAAAATCTGCAAGCTGGGCTTCGTGGCATTTACACTGAATGAATTAATCCAAAAATAATATAAAATTTTTATTCATTGAAAATATTTATATTAGCTTCGATGCGAAGCTGAAAAGGTATTGGTTTTACTATGATGTTTTTTTTTTTGTGTCTGTTACCACTTTTTCTCAGATCTCACCGGACCGATTTCTTTCAATGATACGCCAAAAGATCACAAATCGTATCTAGTCGAAGACATTACCCTCGAAAATTGAAAAAATTTCCCTCGTTCCCCGTAAATGGGGGAAACCTCCAAAAAAATTACAAATTTAAAAATCGTTAATTTTCGAAATTTTTTCAATTTTTTTTACTTAAAACTGCCATAACTTTTTCACAATTAAACAAATCAACATCATTTTTTTTTATACTAAAACCTAAGATATTTCCCTTTCATTTGATATAATTTTTTTGAAAATTTAACACTTAACCTGCTCATTGGGGTGGATTTAAAATGACAACTTTTTCACAAAAAATTTACTTTTTCAACTTAACTTATGAAAATGTTCCGGAAAGTTTGACACTTTTATATATATCTTAAATTAAAGCTAATTCAATGTACTTTATTATGGAAAAAAAAATTCGGACTTTATTTTATCTTCACGGTGAAAATAGCTACCGACTGCTATTTTTATGTGAAAATTCTTGATTTTGTATTTTACATTTTTAACTTTATTATGCTATAACTTTTTGAAAAATGTATGGATCAATACAATTTTTTCATAAGAAGTAGTATTTATATACATCTTTTATTCTACATGCTGTTTTTTAAATCGGACCATTTTCCTATATACGAAGCAGGGGTGGATCCAGAATTTATTCCAAACGGGGGACGTCATTAGATACATTTTTTTCTTTTAAGACTGATTTATTATTTTGTGTTTATTACATTTCTATTTTTAAAAATTTGTTTAATGTTTGCTGCATATTAATTTTTTAAATTACTATAGTATATGTTTTTTGATGACTTTAAGGACATAGGTATATAAAAATAAACTCGTTAATCAAAATTAATTGCATATGAAGAACTTTATTTGAACTTAAAAGCTATTTAACAAATAAAAACAAAATATACATTTCTTACAATATTATAACTAAACACCTAAGTTTGTTCAAATACTATTAAAAAATACATGTAGCGTGTTCTATAAATAACACGATTGCTTCAATATAGTGTTATAATACAGTATGTCAGTACATATATATATATATATATAATATATATATTCTATTATTGATGTTATTTCGATAAAGCAATGGGTGTTCCTACATAATTTGCATGCACTTATTATTTTTAGATTTTTAGATACCAAGTCCTAATTAAAGGTATTTTAATTTAATCAGTATGCAAGTAGCTGAGGAGGGGGCGCGCGCCCCCTCCCCACCACTGGATCCGCCACGGATACGAAGGGGGTTCAAATCTAAAAAATGCATATAGAAAGTAGAACTTTTTCAACTTAACTTTTAAAAGTGTTCCGGAAAGTCTGACACTTATATATATATATCTTAAATTAAAGTTAATTCAATGTACTTTTTTATGGAAAAAAAAAATTCGGACTTTATTTTATCTTCACGGTGAAAATGGCTACCGACTGCTATTTTTATGTGAAAATTCTTGATTTTGTATTTTACATTTTTAGCTTTATTATGCTATAACTTATTGAAAAGTGTATGGTCAACATAATTTTTTTATGATAAATAATATTTTTAGCTTCGATGCGAAGCTGAGAAGGTATTGGTTTTACTAAGATGTGTTTATTTTTTTTATTTTTTGTGTTTGTTACCACTTTTTCTCAGCTCTCACCGAACCGATTTCTTTCAATGATACGTCAAAAGATCACAAATTGTATCTAGTCGAAGACATTACCCTTAAAAATTGAAAAAAATTCCCTCGTTCCCCGTAAATGGGGGAAACCTCCAAAAAAATTACAAATTTAAAAATCGCTAATTTTCGAAATTTTTTCAATTTTTTTTACTTAAAAGT